ACCACGCCTGGCTTTTGTTTTGTTTTGTTTCTTTTCTTTTTTCAGAGTGGGAAAATTTATCGGGGGGAAAGTGAGTGGGGAATAAGAATAACTCCTGAGAGGCAGGAGGGGTCCCGAATGGGTCCCCCTGTTGCTTACTGGCTTTTCCCTGTGGAAGAGGAAGCATTAGCGCTCCCCCCTTGCCTGCGCCCCCTTCCTATAAGGTCACCCTCCCAGCTGCCTCTGTCGCGTTGGGTTCTATCAGTACTCAGCGTTTACAACATTGTGACCATGTGAACACTGTTTACGGGTGAAGAACACGGTAGCCCAGGTTTACTGCTTCTTTCCTGTGTGATCTCTGTTTTCCCAAGAGTTAATCGTGCTCTTGGTTTTCCACTTGCTTCATTTCCTAGATTATCCTCATTCACTCAGACCCGTCAGACAGCTCTGAGTTTTATCTTGTCCGAGAAACGGCCTTCGGGCCTTCAGACCTCCCAGGCTGGCCTGCCGCTTCCCCTGGGGTGCCTCGAGCAGTACCCCCGGCCCCCGCTCCTCTCGGAGCTGAATTCCCACTTTCTGCATTGCATGTGGTCCTCTTTTCTTGGGGAACTCGATTCTGGTGGTACATACCTCCCTCGAGCCTCCTGCAGAAGGGTGCTAGGAAGGAGGCATTTTTGAGAGGGTGAAATTTGAATATTTCTTTATGATATGACCTATTTGGTAATTTGGCTCAGTGAAGATTAATTTCCCATTAGACTTTATTTTATTATTATTATTTTTTTTGTGGTACCAGAGATCGAACTCACGACCTCGCGCTTGCCAGGCAGGTGCTTATACCGCTGAGTTAAACTCCGGCCCTAGACTTTATTTTTTGAAAGTTGTAACTAGTACCTATGTGCAGCACATAATGATTATACCCACCACAGGGAGCTGGCACACTGTACATGACACATCTTATTATTTTTTCCCTCTTCCCCTCCTCCCTCACTTGTTCCTCTTCCCATTTGCAATTTTTCTTTCTGTTTCCAAATTATTTATCATCCATTTTGTGCTTCTGGTTTCTAACACAAGAGAAACAGTGTAATATTTGTTTGTTTGTTTACTGATACTGGGAATAGAGCTCATGACCTCCTGCTTGCCGGGCAGGTGCTGTGCCGTGGAGCTATATCCTTGGCCCATGATATTTTTTGTTTGTTTGTTATTTTGTTGAGTCAAGATCTCTCTGTGTAGTCCAGGCTGGTCTGGAACTCACTATGTACTGGCCTCAAACTCATGACAATCCTCCTGCCTCAGCCTCCCAAGTGCTGGGATTATGGGCATGTGACAACACACTCAGCAATAATTTGATATTTAAACATGTATGTCTGATTTATTTCTCTTAAAAGTATTGCCTCAAGGGGCATCCATTTACCTAAAAATGTTTCAAGTTTATCCTTCTTTATGGCTGAGTAGTATTCCATTGTACATAAAAACCACATTTTCTTTGTCCATTCACATCTTGCTGAGCACTTGGGCCGTTTCCAGGATTTAGCTATTACAAGTTGTGCTATTATAAACATGGGTGTGTATATATTGCTGTGGTATGATGCTTTTAATTCTTTCAGAAAGATACCAAGAAATGGAATAGCTGGGTTAAATGGAAACTCTAGTTTCAGTTTTTTGAGGAATCTCCACACTGATTTCCACAGTGGCTGCACCAGTCTACACTCCCTCCAAGAGTGGAAAAGAGTTCCTTTTTCCCCACAGCCCTATCAGCATGTGTCATTGGTTGATTTGTTGATGACAGTCATTGTTTCTGGGAGGGAGAGGGAATCTCAGCATTGTTTTAATTTGCATTTCTCATATGATCAGTGTTGCTGAACATTTTTTCATATATTTATTTACGATTTGAACTTTTTATGTGACACATGTCAGGTGCCCATTTATGGATCGAGTCTTTAAATTTGGCGGGTCTAATTTTTAAAATTCTTTATATATTTCAGATATTAGTCCTTTGTCTGAGGAGCAGCTGGTAGAACTTAGACTTCAAAGGCATTCCTCCAGTGTTGCTGTTAAGATATCTAAAGTCATTTTAGTTGCTGATTCTTTGTGTCTGTCTTGTTTTTTCTTTCTGTAAATGTACAGAATCTTCTTGGTCTTTATTTTCCTGGAACTTCACACTGATGTGCCTTGCTATGATTATTTTATTTATTTATTTATTTATTTCGGTTTTTTGAGACAGGGTGTCAGGCTGGCTTGAACTCACTTTGTAGCACAGGCTGGTCTCAAACTCACAGCAATCCTCCTGCCTTACCCTTCTGAGTGCTGAGACTACAGATGTGATCACCATGCCTGCTGAAATGATTTTAATGTCATTGCTACTCACTGGTTCCTTTCAGTTTGAAAATGTTTGACCTTAGGTGCTGGAGGGGCTGTGGGGAAAAAGGAACCCTTTCCCATGTAGCCTGGTGCAACCACTGTGGAAATCAGTGTGGAGATTCCTCAAAAAACTAGGCTTGGAAGTCCCATTCAACTCAGCTATTCTCCTTCTCAGTGTCTTCCCAGAAGAATTAAAAACATCACACCATGGCAAAATATGTGCACCCGTGTTTACAGAAGTACAATTTGTAATATCTAGATCTTGGAAACAACCTGAATGCCCATCAACTGATGAATGGATAAAAAAGATGTGGTATTTTTATACAATGGAATACTACTCAGCTATAAAGAAGGATAAACTGGAGACTTTTACAGGTAAATGGATGCAATTTGAGACCATAACATAAGTGAAATAAATCAGATACATGTGTAAACATCATGTTATCTCACTAGTGTGAGAAGCTGAAAGAAACAATATATGGATATATGGATATATATGTGTATAAGAAAAAAGAGAGTTAAGATAATTATACTACTGATTTCTCTGAGTTCATTGAAAAGAATTGTGTGGGTATTGTTTGGACAGTGTAAGGCAGATGTGTTGTTCTCTGGGTGAATAATTTGGGGATGACAATGCACAGTGTTTGTACCATTGTTACCCTCTGATTGATGTGTGTTGAAATTTTGTTTTCTTTTTTTTCCTCTTTGAAATAAAATGGATTTGAAATAGAAAGAAAGAAAGAAAATGTTCGACCTCGAGTTCTAGAAACTGTATTACATTACTCACTGGTGATTTTTCCCGCCTCTATTTTCCTTGTTCTCTATTCCTGGAACTCTGGTATTTGACTAGAACACTAGTCTTTAATTCTCTCATTTTTTTCTCCTTTTTTTTTTTTGTTTTTGTTTTTTGTTACTGGGGATCGAACTCACAACCTCACACTTGCCAAGCAGGTGCTTGTGCTGCTGAACTAAGTCCTGGCCCTTTTTTCCCTCTCACTCTTTGTGGTCTACTTTCTGGGACATTACTGATTGTTTAATATGTGTCTTCGTGTTTTTAATCTTTGAGAGCTCTTTGTTTTGTTCTGCTAGGGTACTCATATCTTTATAGCACCCCCCACCCCCAGTACTAGGCATTGAACCCAGGACCTTCACACTGAGCTCCTTTCCTTGCCCTTTTTATTTATTTTGAGACAGGGTCTTACAAAGTCACTAAGATGCCCAGGCAGGGTTTCTCCTGCCTCAGCCTCCCAGAGTTCTGGGATTGCAGGAACGTACCATCTCACCCACTGCATCCTATTCCTGATTTGTGGGTGTTGTATTGTCATTTATCCCTCTTGGGCTTAATATTAAGGACACTTTATCTCCTCATGTTGGTTTTTTTCCATTTGAATTTTTTTTTTCCTTTTTTGAGACAGGCTCCTGCCATGCAGTTCAGGTGGGCCTTGAACTCACTTTGTAGCCCAGGCTGGTCTTGAACTTGCAACCATCCTCTTGCCTCGGCCTCCCAAGTGCTGCGATTACAGGCGTGAGCCACCATGTCTGGCACCTCTTTTAAATGTTGAAGGCTTTTCGGCTCTCTCATGATGCTTGATCTTCTGGCACTCCCAGTGGAAGTAGCAAGCCAGGAGCGAGCTTTGCTTCAAGGAGGGCCTCCGGTAGGGTCACTCGCATTTCACCTGGGGACTTCCTCCAGTGGTCACACTCCAGGCTGTCGCTTCCACATAAGCTGGTGCCCTTCCCTGCGTCTGCTCTCCGGGCCTGGGTCACTCAGGGAACCTTTGCTTACCCTTACTGTTCCCCCACCCCTTTGGTACTGGGGATCAAACCCATGGCCTTTACACTGAGCCACATCCCCAGCTCTTTTTTAATTTTTATGTTCGGGGAGGGTCTCACCAAGTCTCTAGATTGCCCAGCCTGTGATTCCCCTGCCTCAGGCTCTGAGAGTGTTAAGATTACAGGTGAGTGCCCCCATGCCTGGCCCCAATATATAGTGTACAAGGTGTAAGTAGGAGGCATAACACCTCACAGCACAGTGGACTCTCCCCCAGGACCCTCTCCCAGCCCCTCTTGCTTCTCTCCTGTAGTGGCCTGTTCTCCTGCATGTGAGCCACACAGTGTAAGCATTGAGAGGTGGAAGAATGGAGTGGCCAAGCACAGGGACTCCTCAAACACACGGCCTCTCTAAGCCTTAGTGTCCTATGTGTAAAAGGAGGACACTGTTCTGTGGGCGAAAACAAAAAAGTTCAGAGGGCTTGGTGAGTGGTGGCAGATATTAATACCAGTCTCAACACCATGGACTCTCAGAGGGGAGCCAGGGGACAGACATCAAGTCTACCCTTTCTCCTCTATCTTGAGAGGACATAACAGGCCAGAGAAAAGGAGTTGACTAAGCTCACAGGGGACACACATCCCCTTTTTTGTACCCACTTTTCTACAATGAAAAGGGGAGACCAAAGCAATTTCTGTTTCAGAGTGATTTCCTGTCTAGGGAGCTGGCGTTAGCTAGTTTCCGAAAACATTCAAAGAGCCTTGTGAATCCAAAGGTCTGCCCAGAAACAAGTGATGAAGGCTGTGGTCAGCCAATGGGATCGCTCTGGCCTTTCCACCTGCCCGGGAGCTCCCCTTCCTCATCCTGCCCCGTGAAAGGCCGCTTCGCCTGAGTGGGGTATTTCCAGCTTTGTGGCTTTCACTTCCACATCTGCCAAGTGGGCGGAGTGGCCTCCTGTGGACGAATCAGATTCCTCCCCAGCACCAACTTCAAGAAGTGAGCGTGGGCTCAGGGTCCCAGACACACGGGAGGAGGCAGGTGACAGCAGCAGCAGCAGCAGGAGCTGTGGGGAAGACCAGAGACCAGAACCATGGAAGACCAGCACGACCTCATCTCCAACCATGAGCAGCTGCCCATGTTGGGCCAGCGCCCTGGAGCCCAGGACGGGTATGTGTGGCCCCAGGGAAAGCACACAGACTTGTGTAGGTGCTGGGAGGAGCACTGGCCTGGAGTCCAGGGAGGCCACCTCTGACACTGCCTTGCTGGGTGACTTTACACAAGCAAGTCTCTGGCCCACTCTGAGTTTTGGTTCCTCTTCTTGTAAAATGAGGGGTTCCTTTAGAGCAGAGGTTTGCAGCCCCTTTCTGCTAACCAGAAGAGAGCCCTGGATTGTCTTCCTAGTTTCATTATCAGGGGCTCTACAGAACTCCTAATGCTGGGCCATGAACCTTAGATTGGAAAACTTGGACCAGCTTTGGAAATATTCTGGATCCCACTGGAAAAAGATTTCAACAAGAGGGGATAGGGGCCGGGGGTTTAGCTCAGCAGCATGAGTGCCTACCTGGCAAGTGCTGGGTAGTGAGTTTGATCCCTGGCACCAAAAAAAAAAAAAAAGGGGGGGGGGGCTGGGGATTTAGCTCAGCAGCATAAGCGCCTGCCTTGCTAGCCTGTGGTCATGAGTTCGATCCCTGGTACCGGTAAAAATACAAAAAAAAAAAAAAAAAAAAAAAAAAAAGAGGGGATGGCTGGGTGCAGCCATGAGTTAGTTGGAGGCCAGCTTGGGCTACAGAGTTTATTTTTATTTTTTTATTTTTTGTTAAGGCTACAGAGTTTAAAGCCAGCCTGAACTGCATAGTGAGACCTGTGTTAAAAAAAAAAAAAAAGAAAAAACAAAAAACCCAGAAGGGATATCAGGACTGAAAGCAGATGGCAAAAGGGCTCTTCAGCGTCCATTCAAGGGAGTCAGACCTGCAGGTGTATGCAGGCCATTACAGCAGCAGCCACAGAGGAGCAAGGTGTCCAGCTAAGCATCTAGAGGGCTCAAGGGTGATGTGGGCTCAGTCTGCCTGTGCCCTGCTTCCTTGCAGCAAGAGGCCCACACAGACATCCAAAGAACCCTGGCCCCTCTCTCAGCCCCCAGCCCCTGCCTACGTTTCCTCCCACCAAGGACCCAAAGGGGATTAGAATCCAGCTGCCCCAGTTCCCACCTCCCCCAGTCTCCAGAAAGCCCTTCGTTATCTGGGAGGCCAGAAGCTAGATGTGACGTCATCTGTTGCCAGGTAGACAGTGGTTTGGGAGAGTCTCTGAGAAACAGTAGGAGGAACTGAACTGTGTCCCAGAGGACAAGGTAACCAGATACAGACTATGAGAGCAGTGGCCTGTGAAAATGTGTGTGTGTGGGGGGGGGGGGTCCCATGGAAAAGAGGACTGAATCTCTTGTGAGGACTGAATTCTGGTCCAATTTCTGCTATCGTCATGTGTGGACCTTGGATAAATCACTGCCTCTCACTGGGTCTCAGTAATCCTAGCCATGATAATAGTTCCTATCCTCAGTGTACTGGCTGACAGTCATTATTACCATGATTATTTGCTGCACATCTGACTGAAGGCTAAACTCAATCTTAATTTTCACAGTCGCCCTATACATTTAGCACATTTGTTAGGTCCACAGATTTCCTTTACACAAAAGGCAAGTGGTGCTCATCCTGGTGAGTAACTTACCCAGATTATTCTAGGTGGTGAGTGTCAGAGACAGAATTTGAACTAGAACTAGTCTGATTTCAGTCTGAGCTCATTCTGTGGTCTGGTCCCTTTTAGAGGCATGATTTGTAAGGAGGGGAGGTGGGATCTCCTGAGCTTAGTCCACCCAGATTTACAGACCTGGTGGGCTGGATTCAGAGTGGGGGCTCCTTTGTCAAAGCCTTGTCTGTTTTTCACTTCAGTTACTCTTTCTGAAAGTGGCCTGGTCCTGTGTGCGTGTGCGTGCGCCACTCCAGACCAGACCCTGATTCAGACCTTCTTGTGAACACTTCTGCCTAGCAACATCAGTGTCATGCTTCCTGATAGTTCTCATTGGCTCTTGACTTTGACCAACTATTTTTTTTTCTTTTTAATTCCACAAGGAAGCAGAGCAAAAGAAGAAACGAGAAGGTGTGAAAAAAATTGGCACTCTACCAGAATCAGGGTACAAACACCTAAAGAGGTCTAATGAAGGAAGTCAGATGCTAAAGTTAACTATTCTGTCCCTAGAGAACAGCAGTTATTTATTTACAGAGCACTAAAGTATGTACTAGGTAGGGAACTAAGAGATTTATCCTCACTCTCTTATTTAATTTAACAACCTTTGAATTGACTGATTCTTTTACTCAATGTTACTTCTGCACAGGGGTTAAGTAACCTCCTGCTGTGGTCCCAGAGCTAAGTGAGTGGCCTGAGCCAGGATTCCACTCCAGACTACACGGGCTCATCTTCAGTATGAATCTCTCTACCCTTAGGGATTCTCAGAAGCTGGGGTTCAGCAGGGGAAGAGACAGGGTTCCCTGTGAGGGGGAAGAGCGGGGGCCAGAACTGAGTGTGGACTGCAGAACAGGTAGGGGTTTTGGCTGTCTAGGTAAGAGACTATGAAGACGGAGAGCTTTAACCCAGACAACACTGAAGATGAGTAGACTTACCATCACTTCTTCCTTGGAAAGGCCAAGAAGTGAAATTTGTTTTCTCCTGTGTCTGGCTTCCTTTTCTCTATAGAGTTTTAGTTTTTGCTAGATCTTAGCCCAGAATGCACAGAGGGCAAGCAGAGAGCCAATGAGAATAAGTAATGATTGTGATGTCATGAGTTACTAGGCAGAAGGGTCTCTTGGAATTTCCCAAATACCCATTGTGGGCTGTGGAGGTAGCAGGACACAGACTCATCTGACAATTTCCAAAGGGATCAGACTCAGTCTGTTAGTGCTGGTCCAACAGAATACCACATACTGGGTCATTTTTTGAAAAACAGAGATTTATTTCCTGTAGTTATGGGGATGGCTTTTTATGTAGGAGAAGGCTGAAGGGCAGGATCCAGCCAACTTCCCTCTGCTGAAAGCTCTTACCAGGGCCCCTAATCCCATCCACCTCCCAGCTTCATCAAATTGCCGACACTGACCTTTGGAGGGGACTCATCTAAACCACAGCAGGGTCGTGGTTGTCTCTCGATCCCTGGGGGTGGCTGGAGGGGGAGAGGTCTTGGGATCTGATCCCTATATCACCCACACTGTAAGGCAGGCACACACCCCCAAGCCATGCGCAGAGCCCACAGCTCCCTGAGGTTTGAGGGTCTGCCACCCCTCATTTGCACACGGTTAGTCCAGAGAACAAGAGTAATTCCCCCAGGCACCTAAACTGCCATCCAAGTCCCCTCAGCTGGGTTTTACCAGGAGCTACTTCTGTGGTTGTGGTCAGAACTTGTTTCAAAGAAGAAACCAAATCCTAGAATTGCTGAGGTGAGGGGTACCCATGTGACAGGTGGAAACACTGAGGTCAAGGTACTGGACTTGCTCAAAGACACGTAGTCTGAGGGAGATGGGAAAGGGAAGTAAAAGGAACTAAGTTTGACTGGGGATCCAGCTCAGCGACATAGCGCCCGCCTGGCCAGCGTGAGGTCCTGAGTTTGAGTCCCGGTACCAAAAAGAAGAAGAAGAATGAAGTGTGTTACGGATGTTACTACCTTCCCCATGATGAACACAGTCACTGCACTGCACACGTGCACTACCCAAAACAAGACTTGGGGTGCAGCAGGTGCTTCCCTGGAGAGGGGAGGCCAGCCCTGCTCTCGTCTGGCAGTGCCCAGTACGCCCCAGCCCACTCAGAAAACGTCTGCGCCTCACTTCTCCTTTTCACATGGGCCCAAATACCTGCTGTCCTGGTCCTGTTTGCTTCCTCTTTTTCCTTTAATTCAATTTCAATGTGGGGGTGGGGGACTTCCTAGGGGAACAGAAACCCCCCTCTTTTTTACTTGGTAATTGTAAACGTATTTTCGTTTTTTCTCGCTAGACAGTCCAGGCTGGCGCTGAACTGGCGGTCCTCCTGCTTCTGCTTCCTAAGTGGTGGGATTATAGGCCCAAACCCCCAGCTTTATGTGTCTTACTTTGTCAATTAAAAAACAAAATAAGGGGCTGGGGATTTAGCTCAGCGGCATAAGTGCCTGCCTTGCAAGCAGGCAGTCGTGAGTTCGATCCCTGGTACCGATAAAAAGAAAAAAGACAAAAAAAAAAAAAAAAAAAAAAAAAAAAAAACCAAAATAAGGCACATGGGAGGCTGAGGTAGGAGGATTGCTTTGAATTTGAAGCCAGCCAGGAGTGCATAGTGAGTTCAAGGCCAGCCTTGAGACCATGTTTCTTTTTTTTTTTTTTTTTTGTCTTTTTCCTTTTTATCAGTACCAGGGATCGAACTCACAACTACCTGCTTGCAAGGCAGACATCCCCAGCCCCTAGTGAGACCCTTTTTGAAAATAAAAATGAAAAGCTGGGGATTAGCTCAGTATGAAGACCCTGGGTTCAACCCCAGTACCACCAAAAACAAAATCAAAAAATCAAAAACCAAAACAGAAACCTCCCCACCCAAAACAAACAACCCAAAAGGCTCCCTCTTGAGGGAAACCTTGCTCCTAAGAAGACTCCCAAGACACAGGGAACTGGGGAGACCCTCCCCCTTGATCTGTCTCTGCACAGTGAAATATCAAATTCCAAGAGACAAGAAACCATGCCCTGGCTCTTTCCCATTTATCCCTGGCTCAGGGACTGCTCTAGGATTTCTATGAGGCAGGAGCTTGGGGGCATCAGTGGTTGGAAGGAGAGGGGTGCTTCAAGCTGCATTTCCATAGCCAGGTTTTTTTTTTTTTTTTTTATATCAGGGATCGAACTCATGATCTTGTGCTTGCCAGGCAGGCACTTGTGCCACTGAGCTAAATTTCCAGCCCGATAGCCTGCTTTTTATGTGGTTTTAACCTGTGTTTGTGAGGGGTAGCTTAGACGGGTGGCGGGGATCCCAGGCAGACACTGGGCAGCTCTCTGGTTTTCTTCTGATCTACTCTCCACCCTTCCTGGCAGCAAATGCAGCCGCGGAGCCCTGTACACAGGCTTTTCCGTCCTGGTGGCTCTGCTCCTGGCTGGCCAGGCCACCACCGCCTACTTCCTGTACCAGCAGCAGGGCCGGCTGGACAAGCTGACGGTCACTTCGCAGAACCTGCAGCTGGAGAACCTACGCATGAAGATGCCCAAGCGTGCGTGTCCCCCATTCCCCCACCCGACCCCACTGTTGCTCATCGCAGAGACCCCATTCCTGCACCTTTGAGTTCTCCCTGGGTGCCTCCTCCGGGGACCTGGGACCACACTCACCCCACGCATGCTTCCCGCCCACAGCTCCCAAGCCCGTGAGCCAGATGCGGATGGCCACTCCCCTGCTGATGCGGGCGCTGCCCATGGAAGTCATGCACAAGGGGGTAAGGATAACCCCGGCACGTGGGAGGGGGATGTGTTCAGCTACACGAGGGACAGCTGACCCAGGAAGGGCTAGCTGGCCAGGGCTCCTAACTGCTGGGAGAAGGAGTGCCCACCTCTGGAAGAGGCGCTCCGGAGCAGAGGGGCAAGGGGCGGATCCAGCCTGTGGGTTACAGTGCCTCCCATGGTTCCTGCCATCTTAGTTACCTCCTTGATAGTGTTATCTTGATTGTTTCTACTCACAAAACTGCTGTTGGTGAAGCCCTCGGCAGGACAGCTGATGCTAGGCTGACCAGCGAGGACTCTGGGGCAGGAGGGTGCAGGGATCACTTGAGGTGGTGGGGTGGCCCTGCTGAGGAATGGGACGTGGCTCTTACCCAGGGCCCAGATGCTGGCTACCCTGCGGGCCGCTCCTCTGAAGCCATCATGGATATATATCCCTGTGTTTCCTCCTTCCACAGCCCGTGCAGAATGCCACCAAGTATGGCAACACGACCCAGGACTACGTGATGCACACACTCCTGGTGAGTGCAGGCAGCCCACTCACCGTGACTCTTGGTGTGCTCCCTGAAGGAACAGGAGAGCGGCCTTCAGGTTACCTGGAGTCCAGCCTCCCCGACTCCATGTTTTTGGGATGGGGAAACTGAGGGTGAAACCTTGGAAGTGACGTAAGATACTTCTTTCTTCTCAAAACTGTACTGCAAGTCTGCTCTGTGCTGGCACGGTGCAAGCCTGCTGGGCAACAGTGGGCAGTGATTGGGCTCATGGGAACCCGAGGCCAATGAGGAAAGTCAGGGGACCAGGGAAGTGCAGGTGGCTTCATGAGGGAAGAAGCAGAAGACCAAAGCTGCCTGGGGTGGGTAAAGGTCTTCCTGGAGGAGGTGGTGCCTGAGAACAAGTGCCTGTAGAAGACTGGGGTGTGGAGTAGAGATGCTCTGCACCATGAACTGCCCCTCAGCCAGGGCCTTATGCCTACAGCTGGACAGCCACGGTCCCACGTGCAGACTTGGTGCTACTCAGGCCCACTCCTCAGATTGGAAGACCAGGGGCCTGTGGGCTGCACATTTCACTTTGCCTGCCAGGGAGCTCTTTTTAACCCTTCCTTCTTGCTTTGCCACTTTGCAGAAGTCTGACCCTCTGAAGGTGTACCCACAGCTGCAGGGGAGCTTCCTTGAGAACCTGAAACATCTCAAGAACACCATGGAGAGCCTGGACTGGAAGGTGAGCAGGTTTCCCTGCACACAGGACCCTTCTCTGATGTCTATCTTGGGCAAGGCTGGAAGGAGAGGGTTGAAGGGGAGGCTGGGGCACTATTCTCAGGAAGCTATGGGGGCTTGCTTGCCCGAAGAATACTCAAGAAAGAATGCTTGGTGTCAGAAGCCACCCACGGCCTTTAAGACGTTAGGTGCCCAGCTGTGTGCCTGGCCGCCTGGCACCCCATGTTTCCCAGGCACAAAGCCAGGTGGGGCAGGGGCTTGGTGATGCATAGGGAGCCTGAGTCCTGCTTCTGTCCCCCTTAGGTCTTTGAGAGCTGGATGCACCACTGGCTCCTGTTCGAAATGAGCAGGAACTCCCCGGAGGAGAAGCCCACCGAGGCACCGCCCAAAGGTACAGGGAGTGGTGCTCAGCCACCGGGACTGTGGAGCTGCTGAGGCCAGGGCCTTGTGCATTGCCTGTTTCTCTCTACCCTGCCACTCCTGCCTGTTCCTTTGGGGTCCCACTGTCCCCATTCTACCTGGACTGAGGTCTGTTCTTCCCACTGTGAATGCTCAGGTGTACAGAGACTCCATCCAGAGGCCAGCTCTCACCTGAGGGCACCGTGCAAGACAGCCCTCCCCCCATCATGTCCTTCCTGGCTCTGCCCTTGGCGGTGCCAGGCCAGAGGGCCTCGGGCATTTCCTACCTTGTGACAGCTTACATCAGGTTGCAGGGTCCTGAAGTGAAAGGTCAATAATCCACCCTGCCCTGGGCTTGTTTCTTATCTGAACTATCCAAGGGACCTAGCATCTGTTTTCACCACCTTCTAGCTAATGTCTGAACCCATCCCACAGCATCCACCCCTGACAAGCGGTAACCCCATCTTTTTTTTTTTTTTTTTTTTTTGTCTTTTTCCTTTTTATTGGTACCGGGGATCAAACTCACGACTGCCTGCTTGCAAGGCAGGCGCTTATGCCGCTGAGCTAAATCCCCAGCCCCCAGTAACCCCATTTCTACTTGAGTACTTCCTGTCCCAGTAACAGGAAGCTCAGACTGCCCAGGAGTTCACTGCTTTCTCCTGGAAGTCAGAAGCATAGGTATAATCCCAAATGTCAGCAGACTCTGAGTATCAGAAGAATCCTGCCCCGCGATGAATCAGCCTGTAGCGCACATCCTTGCTGGTCTGGGCCGCAGGCCTGTTTTCCTCTCTGCGGTGGGTACTGAGTAAAGCCAGGAGGCATCAGGCCCATTCCCTCACTGTCTCCACCATGCCTGTCGCTTCAGTACTGTCCAAGTGCCAGGAAGAGGTCAGCCACATCCCTGCTGTCCATCCGGGCACGTTCCGTCCCCAGTGTGACGAGAATGGCAACTATATGCCGCTCCAGTGCCACGGGAGCACCGGCTACTGCTGGTGCGTCTTCCCCAACGGCACCGAGGTCCCTCACACCAGGAGCCACGGGCACCATAACTGCAGTGGTAAGCAGGGGCCACCAAGCCTCCAGATGGAAGGACCACAGGACTAGGAAGGCTGAGGGACAACAGGTCCCTCTTGGCCACTTGGGGCAGGACACCGGGTTTGGCAGCTCCCGTCAGCCAGGCACCTATCTCAACCACCACCCACCTGAGCACGTCTCCTCACCGCCACTCATCTGCCTGCACGCTGTCCTCCTGCACCTCGAGTCCCGAGGAACCCAGCTCCTTGCTCACTCAGGCCCACTGCACCTCCGTTCTGTGCACTGCCTGCCTGCTCCAAGGCATCAGCCCTGCCCGCCCTGGGGAGGATGCCCTCAGGCACTCTGCCCACGGGTGGGCTGTGTGGTAACAAAGCCATCTGCTGCTCCCTACAGAGCCTCTGGAGGCCGAGGACCTGTCTTCCGGGCTGGGCGTGACCAAGCAGGAGTTGGGCCAAGGTAAGGGCTGCATGAGGGGCATCTGGTTTCCCACAGCCCATTCTGTATCATTCTCCAGCATCTCTGGGATGGCCTCCCGCAGATAAGGAACAGGGCTGGGAGGGAACAGGGACAAGATACGTGTCCTCCAGCCTCAACCTGCCGCTTCTCTTTCCACAGTCATGATGTGAGAACAGCAGGAGCCGTTTCCAACACGCAGGCAGCTCTGCTCGGCCGTGGCTTTCTTGCTCCCCTGTATCACCAGCCCTTGTCGTTTGCCCAGACCACCCAAACCTTCCTCTCTGTCTCGTTCCCATGAGACTCTGTGCCCGGCTTTCCATCCATCAGTCATCCTTGGACATGACCTGAGATGATGGCATAGGACAGCTCTGTTGCCCACCCCACCATCTGCCAACAGGGACACAAGGCCTGAGGAAGTGGACCAAAACCAGGCCGACCCCCATTTCTGACACTGCAGCCATGTCCACTGTAGGGCTCTGAGATCTAGACTCATGGACAGGGAAAAGGGACAACCCATTCCTACACTCCAAATCAGACACCTTTGCCGCCCTCTTCTATCTACATCACTCCCCAAGGAAAACCCCAGCCTTCCCTCACCCTACAAACCCCTCCTTTTCCACCAACCCCCAGCTCCCTGCTTAGCCACGCTTGCTGTCAGCACAGGGCCATGGCTTATGAAAAAATAAAAGGAGTAGAGGACATCCTGGCTGCTGGCTCTTCTGTTGGGCTACACTTTATTCATCCCAAGATCAGTGAAGACCCTGAATCTAGCTGGGGCGCAGGAATGCAGCCTGAGGGGCCTAGACAGGGCCTGCGGCCCGGGGGCTGCAGCTGGGACACAGACACATTTAGTGGCGTATTTCACACACTGGAGTATTCTTTACTTCCAAGAAGAAATAGACTTGTCTGTAATTTTTTAAGCAGTCTCTTCTTGGTCCAGGTTCCATTTTCCCATGTCCCCAATTCCATTTCTATACTAAGAACAGCGCAAGTGTGATGACAGATGGCAACAGACACAGGGTGAAGAATGGACAGGAAGTGGGGGCCACAGAGGAGTGGGGGCCGTGCCGGACCTCAGCCCCGGCCAGTTGTGGTCAGGGAAGGCCCCACCTCCCTGATTTGTTGACTTCTGATGTTGACGAGGACTCAGAAATCAAGAATGTTTTTGGTAAAACTGCTCCACTTTGGAAGTTTAACACTTTTGTGGGTCAGCAGTCAATGAGGTCACTTTCCTGGCGTCTCCCTGGAACCAGCGCACTTGGGGGTGGGGTGGGGAGTGGCCTGAGGGCCAAGCCGGCCTCCAAGACCTCCAGCTGGGTTGGTTCTTCCCCTTGGTCTCTGCTGTCTCCACTGTTGGGCTCCCCATGAGTATGCCTTCTGCCCCCAGCTTTCCCATTGCTCCCCACTGTCCCTCTTGCCCCCTGCATGGCCACAGCAGCTCTCCACCACCCTCCAGAGCTCACTCTGGCCCAGGTGCTGACCCCTGGAGAAGGCTCCAAAGGCCCCTGCCGTTTCTCACCCCTGGGATTTGCGAGCTACTTCAGCTTTCAGAAACCACTAGGAGCAACCCTGGGCTCAGATGCCACCTCCTGCAGGAGGCCTGTCCACCCGGTCAGCCCCAGCGACTCCATCGATGCCCTGTCTCACATGGCACCCGAGCTCTCCACAAGGGAGGAAGCCTGGGCGCTGCCCGCCCGCTGCCAGTGCCGGCTGCCGTCCTTTCCATGCAGCCCACTGCACAGCACTTGGCCCAGACGCACTGAAGCGTGCACCTTTCCTTCAACTCTTTTATTTCTGAGTTCTCAGGAGAGGACAAAGCCTCTAGATCAGCTGCAGACCACATGGCACACGACAGCTGCGTCTGCGAAGCACAGCGGTGCGAGGCCTGAGGCCCTGGGATGGGTTAGAGGTGAAGGAAGAGGCAGGTCACTTAAAAAAATATATATACTGTACACATCTCTAGAAGCGCTGTGGCAGGGAAGGCGGGGCGAGGCCCAAGGCAGGGCCCCCTGTCCCCCACCGCCCTCCCGCAGGCCTTGAGGCTGGCTGCTGTCTCCCGTGCAGGGCAGGGAAATTCAGAATTCAGTCCTGACCCACGGCAGGCAGAGGGCGGAGGCCCCGGGTGGTCGACACTGCACTATGCAGCTCCTGCAGGGAGGAAGGAAACAGCCAGAAGTCAGTGTTGGAACCTTTTCTTCGCCATGGAGAATCAAGCTGGCCTCTGAGGCAGGGGAGAGGCGGGCACTGACTCATCACCCTCAGCACCAGCGCTGGCCGCCACTGTCCTGCATCTCCTGAGGCTCCAGCCCTGCTGTGGCCTCCCTGACCTGGCCCACCCTGGGGAACAGAACTTCCCTCCCTGTCCTCCCTCAGCCCACCCGGGAAGGCCAGCAGGGTCAGGAAGCGTACCTGCACTGGGCGCCTGGCCCCTCACACTGTTGGCTCGGCCGTCGTCTTCTGTGAGGACAGAAGCATGACAAGTTTTGGTCCCCGCTGTTTCTTTCCCCCACCTCTAACTGCTGAGGCCTGGCAGCTCCCCTGGCAACACGTGGGGGATCTACAGAGGTCTGGGAGATGGGGTGGTGCCCGTGTTCCCTCCTGGAAGCAGCCTAAGGGTCCTGCTCAGCTTCTGACACGGTGAGAGACCCTGGCTGTGTTTGGGGATCTGAAGCGGATGGGGGTGGGTTTTCTCTGTGGGGACACCTTGCTGGCCAGGGTGCACAGTCCCAGCCATGCTTCCTGGCACCTGGAGCCTGCAACAGCACACAGGGTTTCCTCACCCCTCTGAGTCTTTCCTGCACCTGCCTCTGCCCAACTGCCCAAGACAAGGCCTCCTACCTCCGATAAGGCAGGACCACAGCTGTGGCTTCCAGCGTAGGGGTGGGGGCGGGGACACACTCTCACAAGGTCCCCTTTGGCAGCTCAAGTTGGGAAAGGGGGCACAGACAAAATCTGGGTGTGGGAAGGGCTAACATTCACCGCAGGGCCCATTTTGGATTCTTTTCTGGCCTCACACCCCTCAGGAAGTCAGTCTACCTTTTTCTTCTTTTTCTTTTGGAATGGTGAGTCACAGTCTTTAGCTGAGGCCTTTTTTGCTTTCTTCTTCTTTTCCTTTTTTTCTTTGTCTTTTCTTTCTGAGGTAAGAAAGTATGCCACGCTGGGGTCAGTGTCTGGAGACCCGCCAGGCCGGGCCCTTCAGCTCCTGGCGCCCACCCTCCACTCTCTCCACCCCACACGAAGTCATCAAAACAGGCCTCTGGGGAGCTGCCTCATGCTTTCTTCCCATCTAAGGATCACATGGACTATGACTATTTTTCTTTTTCGTTTTAAAAATGGTACCACATATCAAACTCAGGCCTCAGCATGCTACACAAATGCTCTGCCTGAGCTGTATCCTTCACCCTAAATTAGCTCCATTTAAAAACTTCACATACTAACTTAAAAAGCAAAATGGGCACTCAGGAAAGGTCTGGGCATGAGGATGGCACAGGTGCTCCCCTAAGGGTGCCCTTTTTCCTTGGCTCTGGGGTGGCCAAGTCACTAGGCACCCAAGGCCTTCCTTACTTAGACCACAGTGGGTGGTGTTTCTGAGGATGGGCTCCAGCCAGGCAAACCCTGTCACCTGAGTAGCTTCTCTTCCTCTAGGCCAGTTTTCCACTTGGAAAATGGGGATAAAATCCCCCTAGTGTATGGGGCTGGCCTGAGGACACAAGGCCTGAGCGGACACTAGCACAGAGCTTAGGAAGGGCTGCTAAGGGAAAACTAGGGGAAACAGAGGGCAGAGAGGCCGAGGGCCCTCCAACACCTGCTGACTTGGGCCAAAGTGGGAGAGGGCACCGTTTCCTGTCCTTGTCAGGCTGGGACTGAACTGAGATCCAAAGGCCTGAAGGGAAGCCTGCATGGCTGCTGAATGTGAGGAGACAGTGCTCTGGCTTCTGGGAGAGGCTGTGGTGCTGGCCGCAGTGTTTTGGAATCCAGCTCTCCCCACGCTCCCTCCATACGGAGGAACAGGACTAGGAGATGACTGAGGATCCCTGCCACTCCCGACACCCTCGGCGTGGGCTAGGGAAGCAGGAACACTTACTCTTACTGGATTTCTTCTTCTCTTTCTTGGTTTTGGGGTCATTCTGATCTCCACCCTCCACCTTTGGAAGCTCCCCTTCAGGCTTGGCCATGGCCCCTCCAGAGCCAGGAGCTCCCTTCTCCTTCTCCTTGATGTCGCCACTGGCTTTGCCTCGCTTTGATTTCCCCTTGGAAGTCCTCGAGGCCTTTTCTGAGGAAGCAGCACCCTCCTTGAGTTCCCCAGCCGCCAGCTGCTTCTTCTTCTTGCTCTTGGGAGCTTTGGAGGCTGCTTGGTTCCCCGACAGCTTCCGCTTCTGGCCCTTTCTGCTGCTCTCCTTGGTGGCGTCTGTGGCTTTCTGCCTTTGCTGCTCCAGCAGCTCAGTCAGGACCTTGACCACGGAGGCCTGGACCTGTGCCTCGCTCAGGGGCCAGGGCTGGCCCAGGAGACGCTGGGTGATGCTGCTCTGCAGTGCCTGCAGGGAGGCTTCGGTGCTCGCAGGCCTCTTCTTGGGCTTCCGGGGCTTCTGAGTTGTGGGGCCTGAGGCAGCCTCTTTCCGACCTGTGGAGAGAGAGGCCATCTCCTCTGACAACAGCACAGACGGGACGGGTCAGGCTCAGTAGTCACCATCCCATCTGGTCTCCCGAGCTCCCATCTTCCTCATATCAGGCTCTTCTAATCTAGAGCTCTGCACCTCCTCTCTGCTTAAGTTAGTGCTGGGGATGGACAGTGACCCCATAGAATGTTAGGGAGAAGATCGGAAATCCAGTAACAAGACGGTGAGACAAGAGGGAGATGGTACAGCCTGGTCAGCAGTCTGACTTCACCACCAGTCAGCTGTCGCCACTGTGGACCCTGCTGTCTCAGGGCAACACTGTCCATGTCTGTAAAGGAGCTGAGGTCCCCATGATCAAGTGTGGGTGGATGAAACAAGCGAAGCCCCTGCAGACGGTGGGCTCAGGCACTATGAGCTAACTCGGCGCGCCGTCGCCCTCCCGGCCGGGCTCCAGGAAGCATGCGGGAGCCTGTGTGCAGTGGGACTGCACATGGCGGCTGACTAAGCAGGTTTACCGCCTGCCAGAGTGACTTCTGGTGCAGCCTTTGTTTAGAATTTTCCACGCCTCTGCTTGCCTTTGATAATTATGTGCTGACTGCATGTGTAAAAAAAACCTTCTACAGCCCCCTCTAAAATGTCTCCTGGTTGCACCCGCCTCTCACAAAGAGAACACTGGGGAAGAAAGTGAGCAACGCCTGCTTCTAACCCAGCACAGGGGAGCTCAGCCAGAAGCCCCGAGGACGGGCCCCATCACATCTCTGTCTCTCCCTTCCCGGGTGACTGGGCCAGGTCTCTGCCCTGGTCTGGGCAGTCAGTATGGGTGCAGAACTGATACTGGCTCTCAAGGGGGCTCAGTGGTTTGTACCTGAAAGTTTCCACCTTAAGGAGGAGCCAGGAGAGCCACATGCTGAGTCTGACTGACAGCAGCCCCAGGTCCTCCTGTCCGAGGCCACGTGCCTGCGTTCTATGTGTGACTCCCTGTAGGGGCGGGGAGGTGTCGCTGCTGCCTTACTTGGTTAGGATGCGGGAGGCCAGGGGAGCCAGAGGCTTGTCCAGGTTCAGAGTGAGGCAAGGCAGCCCTGGGACCACATGCTGACCCCAGACAGGGTTCTTACTGAGTTCCTACACCCACATCGCAAGTCCATTTGCAGGGAAAAAGACAACAGAGACAAAAGACATGGCTTCCTTTAGGGCAGACGTCACCCTACAGCTTCACCGGCTCTCATCTGTACTTGGAGGTGCTCCTGCAGGTGCACAGCCCTCAATCGCGAAGGCACTGGGGCCAAAGAGGACCATGCTGGTGGCAACGTCAGAAGGGAACCGTGACTCACCTGGTTTAGGAGACATGATGCCTGCTGGCTGGGACTCTGCTGCTGGCTTTCCAGCTGGGTCTTTAGTTCTTGAAGCAGAGGAAATTGTGGGGTTCGACTCTCGTCCAGCAGTGGCTTTTGAAGCCTGGTTATTAGCCATGGTTAGCCCAGGTGTCACATAACCTGAGAGGAGAGACTGAAGAAGCCCAGTGTAAAAGAGGCTGCGAGCCCACCCCTGGCCCCTGAGCATGCTGGGACGAAGCTGCGTAGGACCTCCGGCCAGGCTTGTTCTGAGCATCGTGGGTGAGCACTGAGGACAAGAGTGTCCTTCTACTCTGGCACACACTTCTTGAACTATTTTAACTAATATAAATTTTAGATAGGTACATTTAATGCAAATAGAAAATCACTATCAGTTGTTATGTACTGATTAACTCTGCAGTACCACAGGCTTGAACCCAGGGTAGGTTCTACACTGAGCTACAGCTCAATCACTATTTTTATCTTGCTAAATTAGCCAGGTAGGATTTGAACTTGTGATACTCTTGGCTCAGATCTCTTAAGAGCTGGGATTACAGGCTTGTGGCACCAAGCCTGCTTATAGATGTTTTGTCTGGGTACCACCTAGAACTCAGGTAAATCCTCTCCAAACCCCAGGGGCTGACTACCTGTGGCTCCGTGTTGAGGAGGGAATCAGGGCAGGAGATGCTGGGCTATATTCTTTATTTTTTGGCTATTTGAGACAAGGTCTTACTAGGCATTTCAGGTCGTCTTTGACTTTGCTATGTGGCCCATGCCGTCCTTAAATCACTGTGACCCCAGCACCACAATGCTTGGCCCGGGGGCCTCTCTTTTGCTGGCCAGGCCTCAGCTGCTGCCTCATGGCAGGACCTTGCCCAGGGCTCCAGGAAGGGGCCCGGTCCCATGATCTCAAGGAAGCCCTGGGCCTTAGACTACACCCTAAACCCCACCCTGGCACTTACCTGGGAGGGTGCCACCACCTCATCCTCACTGGACTCTGCCGTGGTCTCCTCCACCAAGGTCTCCCTCTTGGAGAGGGGTGGACCTGCTGGAGAAGCAAAGGTATCCTGTTATCCTGTTAGGTGACCCCTGTGGCCCCTGTCAGTCAGGCAGGGCAAAGCCCCCCAGGAGGGGCTGGGATACCTTGGTCTCTCTACGTGCACCAACATCCCACCCAAGACTGTTCGTTGCTCCTTGCACATCAGCACTGTTCACAGCATTCTAGGTGAGACACGTGACTGCCACAGCTTTTGCTTTTAATTTCTGAAGCCCTACTCACACCTACCTGCTTTCCCTATGGCTGAAGCACACAGTCCTGGGATTTGAGAATCACTAAGGGAACCTCACACCAGAAAGCTGCCAGTTGTCCAACAGCTAAGTTAGGTCTTTGAAATCATCTGGACAAACTTCCTCATAGAATTGTATAGGTAGGTAAACTGAGGCCCAGTGAACGATAATGTGGTCAAGGTCTCAGATCAAGCTGGACCCTGAGGCCAGGGTCTAGGGCTCTGTAGGCCACACCCTCTCCCCACTCCTGCCCCCGGGCCCAGCCCTCTTGGCACCCTCACCCAGCCTGGGGTCTGACTTGGCCTTCTGAGGTCCCTCAGCATCCTCCTCATTCTCTGAAGAGTCGTCACTGCTGTCCTCACTATCATCCGAGCTTCCAGGGGCTTCAGCTTTGGGGCAGCCCGAGGGAATGGCTGTGTTCTGCTGGCCTTCAGACAGCTTGGTCTGTCTGAGCTTGTTGGCCACTCTGGCCTGGACAGCGGTGCTCTGAGGCTGCGTCACAGGCAGTGTTCCTGCAGCACTGCCAGCCTGGTTTGGTGAAAAGAGAAAGAAGGAAAGGTCAGGTGAAGAGGGCTGGTGCTTGCTGAGCACAGCTACAGGGCTGGGCACTCTATGCATGCCACACGCAGGGTCCCATATCACCCTTCCCGTAGCTCTCGGGTACCATCACTCCTTACACACTGTGCCACTGAGAGCCAGGGACGCAAAAACAGAGCTGGGCAGGTCTGGTCCTGATTCCCCATGCTCACCTCTTTCTGGGCCAGGACCTTCAGGGCAGCCTGTGTCAGTGGGAGGGAAGCTGGGTTCTTCCTTGTCACCTGTGGACAATGAGAGGCAGCCTTGAGACCCTTCTATTCTCAGATGCCATCTATGCCACGCCTGGTTAGATCCCGTCTGGCTGGGGTAAGAAAGAACCCAGCAGGGCAAGTCACGGGCTGGAGCCGGGGACTGAGCGGGGAACGGGTGATGTCACCCTGTAGGCAGAGAGATGGGTGCCAGGCTACAGGCTATGAATAAATCACCTTGTTCTTAAAGAGCACAGAATTAGCTCTGGCCAAAGGCAGAGAAGCAGCTCAAGAACCTCAGGAGGTCCACCACTCAATCTGCAGCTTCTTGGGGTTCCCTGAGTATACTCCTATTTCCTATACCTAGCAGCAGTTAGGGAGAGCGAATTTAGGACGGAACTGGTCATGAGCCTCGCTGAGAGCATCTGGTTTCCTGTGGCCCTGTTATAGCCTGGCCTTGTGCCTACTGAGCCAGGACCTGAGCTCTTCTCGGTTCTCCTTACCCCACATGCGCCTCCAGAGGGTCCTGGAAGCTGTGTACCTCTCCCCTCCTTGAGGAGGTCTTCGCTGACTATCCTTCCTAAGGCAGGTCACTCCATTATTCTCTAGGTTATATTCTGTTTCCTTCTCTGACATCCACGAGGACAGTGACCCTCCTTGTCTCCTTCCTGCTACAGCCCCAGGAGCTAGGCTGGACAGATGCTCAGCATGATCTGCTGGCCAAGCAGCGAGGGATACAGGACTTTGTAAACAATGACCACTGCCTGGCCCCCACGCAGCACCCACGCTCCCAGAAGCTCTTTTGGCTGCAGCTGGTGGTGCTCAGCTCCCCAGTGCATCATAGCTCTCTCCTGCCCTCTCGGACGGGTAGGCTACTATGCAGTGGGTTCCTTCTCGATGGGACGGGAGCCAGGATACCCGGGTTCTGGCCCTGCCCAATTCTGGCCAAGCCACTGCCCTCAGGTGGGGCCATGTGCTGTTTTAGCATCTGTACTCTGACCACGAACCTTACCGATCGAGTTTTCAGATTCAGGCAAGAGCCAAATAACAATGTACTGAAAATCAGGGAAGCTGGGGAGAATGTTACAGTGATTCTAAAATATTAAAAAAGGACAACTTCTGTTCATGACATTCAAAACTGGAAGAAGAAAATGACAAAGCTCCCCATGCCGGAAAGCTTGACAAGGGACTCAAGACATAGCTGGGTCTGCCTGGACACTCTTCTTGACAAGCTGAGACCTGGGGGCTGGGCATGCCCCAGGCACGATGTGGCGAGAGCGTGGGGGGCCTGTGCCCACTGGCCGCACAGCCCTCCCTTGTCCCAGATACCTGAGAGGCTGCCACCTCCTGTTTCTTGTCTTCTGATGCCCGACTGGACTCCTCGCTGGCGCTGGCTCTGGGGGCTGTCCTTGTGGAGGTAGTGGGCATAGTTGCATCTGTTCTAACAGCTGAAATGAGGGTGCAGCCGTATCAGGGCATAGACGCCCAGAAGCCCCTAGCCTTTTCTGGGGACCTACCACTGAGCTCCCAGCATTTGCAGTGAGGAGCTTGTTCGCTTCCCTACCCAAGCCTGCCAGGCAAGGATTGTCACTGTGTTATTTGACAAAGATCAGTGGCCCCAGGCCTGCTCCCCATTCCCTTTCCTCTCTACTGGTCAGGACACTACTCTTGAGCAGTGTGCTAGAACATGGTGTCAGACACCCCGTGCAGTTAAAACGGTCTCTCAGGAGTATCAGCTGGGACATCCCAGCTGGGGCATCTGCACAGACTCTGGCCTTTGGCGGGTGCTCGCTGCACAGCTGCTTCTCACAGCCCAAAACAAGACTCTTCCCTTTCCCCAGTGCAGAAGTGGCTGAATGAACAGTGTGCTACTTTGTAGCCTGCAGGAATCCCAGTCTAACTATGGGATGATAAAACCCCACCACAATGTCTCAGTCCACCCCAGGATGACTAAGCTCCGTGCTCAATGTGGTCTAGCTCTGGTGCACGGTGGACTTCAGTGAAGTTAGCAGGGGGGACTATAGCAGTAACAACGTGGGCAGCAGGGTTATACGTCATATTTTTCCTTTTGTGCTAACCTTATTTCTTAATTACTAGGATTAGATAATGTTTCCTCGTTGTAGCATACAGGATAGTAATATTAACCATTTTCTGGTGCTATTATTACAGAACTAAGATTCTTAGAAGGCAAGGGAACCCCAGATCCGGCTGGGGTTCTGCCAACGGAGTCCCTCACTGCAGTGTCCCTGTTTACCTGCTACCAGGGAGGGGAAGTCCCCCCATCTGGCCCGCCCGCTCCGGCCAGTCACTTGTTATGGAGCTCCTATCTGTTCAGGCATCCTTGCTGGTCGGAGCCAGAACACAGAAGCCTTGGGAACAAATCTTTCCAAATCACAAGCCTGAGTCAGTCCCTCGTTGGTGACAGCACAGGGCCCAGACACCTGGCCCCAAGCCCTCTTGACCAGTGGTTTGCTAATGGGTCAGAGTCCTGTCCTCAGTGGGCGGTGGTGCCGACTGCTCCTCCCAGCCAGGCCATGCTCACCAGGTGCAGAGGACTGCGTGGCGGGGATCACATCCTCATCCTCGCTCTCGGAGGAGGAGCTCCCAGCAGTGCTGCTGGGGGCCCGGGCCTTCCTTGGGGCACTTGCAGCCTGGGCTTGTGCGGGGGTCACAGCCGGGCCAGCTGGACTACGATTAGGGTCGACAAAAATCAGAGGGGGTTTAATCACCTTGAAAAACAAAAACAAAACACATCCCCCCAAGTGATTAAAGGTTTGGCCAGGGGAAGGGCAAGATGGGGATGGGGCGGGGTTTTACAAGGAGCTCAGGGGCAGCCAGGGAGTTGGAGGCCATTCCTCTGCCCAGGGTTTTCCTGGCCTGCTGCTGCCCTATGTATCTCCGTAACTTAGCACAGCACCTCACAGTTCACAGGAATTCACCTAAGTCTCACGGTGAGCCTGAGGGTGGCAGTCAGCTCCCGAGGTCAGGTGGGAAACAAGTCCACAGAGGACAGAGAGGAGCCCATAACACACCAACCACGAGAAGTGAGGCCAGAGCCAACTGTCCACTTAGTCTTTTCTCCTCTGGCTGACTTCAGAGGTGCCTAACTATTGAGGGGAGCATGCTAAAAAGTATTCCCACAGTGGCCTGGCCATGATCCATGTACCAGTCCCCTGGAAAAGCATACAGCCTGGCTGCCCCACCTGGAACCTCTGATGCAGCCACCAGCTTGAATAACCCAGTGTCCGCAACATATGAACTACATGAGGAAAATGGGGAGAAAGGAAGAAGATGGAACAGATTTAAGAATTAGGAGATGAATATCTCAATGTAACCCTCACTCGGACTTATGGTCTTTTTTGAGGCAGGGTTTCACTATATGGTTCAAGCTGGCCTTAAATTCATGGCAGTATTCCTGCCTCAGCCTCCCAAGTGCTAGAATTATAGGTGTGCACTACTGTACTCGGTTGGACTCTATTTGAATGGATCAAATATAAACAGCACCATTTATAAGGCCTGAGGATTTAGTTCAGTGGCCTAAGTGCATGCCTGCCAAGTATGACGTTGTGATTTCGAAAAAAAAAAAAAAGTACCATTCATGAAAAACTGGGGAAATGGGGACACTGCTAGGTAGGTGAGTCTCTAAGATGTGATACTATATTGTAGTTGTCCTTAAAAGAAAAAGGTGAAAACGAGACCTTATCATGTAAAGCTGAACACTGAAACCTGGTTGATGAAACAATAGGTCTGACTGCAGCTTCAAACCAGGGGTGCTAGGGAAAGAATAGGGGAGGTGTGTAGAGGCTGTGAGGGATGTGGGGCTGCTTCACACTTCCCAGTGGGACAGCTGCAGGAAATGCAGGCAGCGGCGGCAGCACCCCGGAACTGGCCAGCCGGGCCCAGCGCCGTGGCCCCGAGAGGGCGTCTGCACACCAGGGCACTCTGCTTCCACTTCCTTCTCAAAGTGCTCGGCCAGTGAGGCCACGAGCCAGGGAGCTGGTGATGGCGGCTTTCCAGGAAGCATTTTTCCAATGTCAGCGCTGGTTTAGGGTCTAATCCTGCTCTGGCCAGTAGGAGATTTGGGGCAAAAAGAGCTTCTTGATGCTGGGATAGGGGGAGGAAAGGGACAGGGGCAGGAAGGTCTGCAGCAGGAGCTGGGTGCCACAACATGCTGTCCACCTCCAGGGTGCAGGGGAAAGTCAAAATGAAACGAAAAGATGCCCTCCTGAGTTTGAAAGTCTGCTGGGCCCAGTCCCTTCCTACCCTGCCAAATAGCCTCCCCCACCACTGCTCTGATCTGCCACTTCCAGAGCCTCCCTTCCCACGTGATGCAAAAGAGAAGGATGGAAAGTGGGAGCAGGCTTGCAGTGGAGGGAGGGGATCTATATATATGTGAGAAGACAGAGGAACAGATTGTCGGGGACCAAGAGAGGCAACGAACCCACCGAGGCAAACAATAGCGTCTTGGGATGTTAAAAGCAGCTCAGCAGCAAAAGCCTCCTCCTAGCTCTGCTGCCCACGCCACGCTATCCCAGCCGTGGGCCGGGGGAGGGTGGCGGTACAGGGCCCGGATGCGGAGGGCGGGCTGGGGCTCGGGGCCCACAGCGGAGCTGCTGTACACAGCAAGAAGGCAACAATCAGGTCTGCAGAATTCAGAAAAGTGGGCTGTGCTGCCACAGCATGTGGGGGAGACTCATTTGTTCCCAGAACTGCCCTATGCGGCCAAGTTCCTGTGCTTCCCAAGCCTGCTTCCCACCTTTGAAAGGCTACTGATAGGGGAAATGGCAAAGGAGCACTTGGGTGATGGCTGGAGAAGCTGACTGGCAGCCAAACAGTGGAACTGCCCCTGCTTGAGCCCTTGGCCATACCTCCTCTGTAGGTCTGAGCATCTAGGACCCAGAGGGCTCTCTATTTGTCGTCTAATTCCAGTGGAGCTGAGCACACAGCAGGGGGTGACGGCGCACACCTGTAGTCCCAGCTGCTCCAGAGGCTGAGGCAGCGGGTTACGAGTTTGAGCCTAACTGGGCAATTCAGTGAGCGCCTCTCTCTCAAATTTAAAACAAATTGAAGGGGTGGGGATGCAGCTCAGTAGTAGATGCTTGCCTTTCATGCATGAAGCTCCAGGTTCATTCCCTAGCACCTTGAAAAAGTTCAAAAATACCTCTTGGGGATCGGTTAACAGATCCTGCGAGAGTGCAGAATCTATTTTGGGGATTCAGCAGCCAGTGAGTTTTACAACTTATAAACTCCAGGGAGTCTCACACAAGGGGATGAGAACATCGAGTTGCAGAGGGGCAAGCAACCTCACTCAGCATGACCAACAAACCATTGCCAGGATCAGGCAGAAGCTCCTTCTAGAACTAACTACACAAGCCCTAATATCTTAACCTAAGTTTCTTAGAGGTTTTCTTTTTTTTCTGACTCATCCGAAACTTTAAGAACAGGGATGTTTTAATTTTTAACTTAATTTTATCTTTTGCTTTGGCACTTTGATAGAAGGGACACTTAAAAAAATGAATTTTCATATGGCAGGTAAAAACTACGTAATTTACGGTTTATGACATGATACATGTGTACATAATGAACAAACCAACCGAGCTTCACGCACGTACTCTTTTTGTCTAACTTGGGACTACTGCAGGCCGTACAGACCCTGGTGCAAGGTTTATGCTCTGTACAACAGGGCCTGCTGTGGGGGCCTGGGAATCAAGCCAGTCACCTTCCCTGCCTCAAAGCCTGGGGCTTGGCCTCCCCAATTTGCCATCTAGCCCCTACTCACCACTGGAGGGCTACTAAGAAAAACTGAGCAACCTTGTCAACAGAGATGTGCTAGGATAAGTACATGGCAATGCATCGGACCCAATTAGTGAACAGCGGACTGAGGCGCTGAAGCCCTTCGGGTGGCTGCAGGCCCCCGGGTTGCACCCATATTCCCTGAATCTCCCTGCAGGGAATACACTAACTGCCAGATTTTTCTTTTGGGCTTTTTTAAAAGGAACGCCAGAATCTTCAGGACTAATGTACCAGTTAAACGGTTCAGTTCAAGCAGGATGTTCATTTTAATTATGTTAGCCCGCCTCCGCAGAGCACAGCAAAGCAGCCCTTCCCTCCTGGAAACCTGGAGCCCTCGAGGAGGGGCCTCTGTTTCCCCAGCGAGGGAGAGGCAGCTAGAGGAGGGGTGTTGGGTGCAGGTAAGGGTGGATGGCCCTCATTTAGAGGCAAGGCAGGGCCTGACTTCTCCGAGGCTCCTTCCTGTGTCCTCGAGGACACAGGACTGACACATAGTAACGAAACGCCACACTGAACAGTGCCTGGCATTCGGGGAGGGATCAATGATGTTAGGTCAGTTGTTCATCATTGCTTTTATAATCCTTCCTTTTAAGAAAAAGGTGAGCAGTGAGCACCCCAACACTGGAGGTGAATAAGGAGCCTTGCCTGGACATGATGGATGGATGGACAAGAATGTGGCACACAACACAGAAAGGAGATGGCAGTGGTGCCACTGGTGTTGGGGCTGCAGGACCCCAGCATTGCTGGGGAGGCTGGCAGGAGCTTCTAAGGGTGTGGGGCTAGGGGAGGGCAGAGGGCAGTGCTACCTGCTCCAAAGAAGCATGCCAGCTGGCTCCTCGCACTGATGTCAGACAGGAGGGGGCTTGGTTTTGCCTGCCAGGGCCTGCTCTGGAAAGGAGTGGGTGCAGCAGCACAGGCAAAGCTGCCCCAGGTGCTTGGGCTAGACAGGGGCTTGGGCAAGGCCCTTGAGACTCTGACCGTTTTCCAGGGAAGGCTCCTGGTTCCAGACAGGAAATGAGGAGATACAGGGGGTCAGAGGGTACTGTCTGTGCCTTTCCCAGCCTCTTCAAGAGCACTGGAGGAAATAACTCCTAGGGCCTCAATTCTGACCTGTCGACTGGGGCACCCTCACTGCCTTGTCTCACATCTGAGACAGAACCTCGCAAGGGTCAGAAGGTCTCTGTCCAGAGTCACAGAGCTGGTGGGGATGGAGCTGGCTGCGACTGCCCCCTACCCTCTCCTTACCAGGCTCTGAAGCCTCAGGTAACTATGCTCTGGCCTCGAGGGCTTCCTGAAGCTGTCAAGTGCTATGTGAAGATGGTGAAGGTTTCCCCCTGGGAAGATCTGCCCTGTCCCCCAGCCCAGTACCTTGCCTGCTGTGCCTGCAGGGACAAGGTGCAGCCTACCTGGCTGGGGGGCAGCTCCTCGTCACTGCTCTCCGAGGACCCCTCAGGGTTCTTCTCTGGGGGAGCTGGGGTCACGGTGCTGCTTCTGGCAGTTTTTGAGGTAATGTTTTTCTGCAGAGAAAGGACCTGAATCAGCACACATTGGTATCAGCTGGGTGGGGACAGCTGGTCTGGCATACCCCAAGGCCCTGGAAACACAAACCTCTACCCTGCTCATCTACCTTCCAGAACAGACTCTGACTCTGAAGCATGTATGACTCAGACCCAGCAGAAGGCTGGGGACACGGTGCTGATGGCCTGGGGTCTGAAGAAGAGGTACCGTAGCCTGGGACAAGGCTGTACCAGGGCTCAGTGGTCCTGCCACAGTTTACACCTGGCACTAACACTCCCAGCTAACTGTGGGTGCCATGCAGAAGCTTCTGCAGGCTGCATGCCTCCTTGCCACCTAGCCTGGTGGCTTTCATTGTCCAAGAGCCAATGTCCTTCATGTCCAACAGTTTGCAGCAAAGACAAAGGTCAGGGGTAGGAGATTTAACTTAAGTCCTTGGTGCTTATTTCACCCATAGAGAAAACAGAAATCTCAGGGGTGCAGTGTGGCCCGCTGGGGAGACTTCCTGATTCTTTTAAGAAACAGATTTGGCCACAAGGATATACTTCTACAAGGTCATGATTGGCCAAAACTGACAGAGACTGTCCCTCCAGTTTGCCCTAGAGGCTACTTCCCCGCTAGCTCTTCCGACACCAAGGTTCAGTGCTAGTTGCCATCTGCTGCCACCTCCCCACTGGCCCTGGGTCGATCATTTCTATCCTAGCCTGAGCCCTAACTCAAGTCTGTCACCCTGAAATTTCTTTGCAGGACACAGCCATCCGTGGTCTCCATGCATTTCGAGAGAAGCACACTGTCCCCAGCTGGTTTCTCATTCCTTCTCTCCCAAGCCCCAGAGCTCAGGCTTCACACTAAAGCTGGACAGGTCCTCTCTGGGGAGCAGCAACTACCTAGGTGAGGACCCAGGACTCATGGCTCCTGGGATTCAGGGAGAACTACAAGCCCCTCAAGAAGCTTCTTTATGACTCTCGCCTGAGGCTCGGGCTAACAGCCTTGGTGGGACTAGCTGGCTTAGCCTTCCTTGGGAACCGTATATCTGTGTATGTCTGGAGGCCCTGGTACTTACAGGCGTGCCAAGGGGTAAGGTGTTTAGAGCAGGCTGCACCTAACAATCCTTGAGTCAGAGCCTAAATCTGCTCTTTCTTTCTCACTGCACTTCAACTCAAGTTGTACCTAAGTTTGTGTCAGTGGCTAGCAGGCTTGGCAGGTCTCACCTGGGCTGGAGTCTGGGGTGCCAATGTCTCCCGGTCACTGTCCGACTCTTCACCGCTGCTGCTGTCTGAGTCCTCCTGCTTGACTCCTCCCACATGTCCTGTCTTTCCAAGGGGTGCCGGAGGGACGCCCTTCCTGGGGGACTCCTTGGCAGGGGTTGGGGCAGCTTTCACCTGAGGAGTCTTCCCTGAGGGCTTCAGCTGGCAGTGACAAAGGAGAGATCAGGAGGAGGCACCAAGAGGGCAAGGGTGAGCCCACAGGAGCCCTTTCCAGCCTGGTGGTCTCCAGCCTCACCTGGGCAGGGCTGGTGGCTGGAATCCGGGGTGCCGGTGTTTCCCCGTCACTGTCTGACTCCTCGCTGCTGCTGCTGCTGTCCGAGTCCTCTTCCTGCCTCCCTACCTGGGCCTGGGTGGCTGCAAGTCCTGTCTTCGCAGGAGGTGCCGGAGGGGCGCCCTTCCTGGGAGACTCCTTGCCAGGGGCTGGGGCAGCTCTCACCTGAGGAGTCTTCCCCAAGGGCTTCAGCTGGCAGTGATAAAGGCGAGATCAGGGGAGGCACCCAGAGGGGAAGGACAAACCCATAGGAGGCCTTTCTAGATAGAGCCTGGTGGCCTCCAGCCTCACCTGGGCAGGGTTTGTCGTTGGGGCCTGGGGCGCTGGTGTCTCTGTGTCACTGTCTGACTCCTCGCTGCTGCTGCTGCTGACTGAGTTCTCCTCCTGCCTCCCCACCTGGGTGGCTGTAGGCACCGTCTTCCCAATGGGTGCAGGTGGGGCGCCCTTCCTGGGGGGCTCCTTGGCAGGAGCTGAGGCAGGGGTCTTTCCTGTGGGCTTCACCTTGAGAGAGAGGAAGAATCTGAGAGATGGCGTGTAGGAGGAGAAGGCGGGTGATGAAGCTGTGCCCGTGAGGGCGGAGGCTCAGTACACAGTGGACCCCGGCAGAGGCATAGCACAGGGCTGCTGCTGGCCCTACCTGGGCTGGCACCTTTTCCTCGCTCTCTGAGGACTCCTCGCTGCTCTCTGAGTCCTTCTCAGCCTGGGCTGCCGCAGTCACTGCCTTCTCTACCGCTGACACAGATGCCTGGCCCCTTGCTGGGATGGCACCGTTCTGGGGGGCTCTCACTGGTGACTTCCCCTGGATTGGGAGGCAGTGGTATTGGGGGAGGAAGTGGAAAGCACAGCTCCTTCCAGGCTAAGCTTTCACCGTGGTGCGACAGCGAGGAGGCGGCCCCAGCCAGGCAGGGCACGGGTCCAGGCTGAGGCCGCTGCTGGGTCCTCCTTTCTACCTCGATCTCCAACACTTCTGTGGCTTCTTACCCCACTTGCCTTGGCCATGGGTCCGCGTTTGCCTTGAGCAACCGGAGTGACCAGTTTCCCAGGAGCTGATGCTGCCCCTTTGACTGCAGATGCTGTGGTGGAAGCTGGGCTAGCTTTGGCCTGAGGGGTTTTCCCTGAGGCTTTCACCTGGAAGGAGAGAGGAACATGCAGCAATGCTGTGAGCCAGGACTGCTGCTCTGGAACAAGATGCAGGGCTTAGATCTGTCTCCATCACATCCATGTGGCTGGAATAAATCACTGGATATTACTGGGACTCAGTTTTCTCTCCTATAAAATAGGGATAATAAACAAGGCCCATCTATAGAGATATGGTGAGGATTAAATAGGAGATCTGGTGCTTAACATAGTGCCTGGCTCACATTAAACATTCAGGCTCATTTTAGTAAGTACTTTGCTAGATAAGCATAAAGACATCTAGAACAAAGTTGTTTTCTAGGCGCTTTTTCAGCTAGGTCACCATGTTATTAAATTCTGGCTAATGAAATGTAAACTGAGTGTCATAAAAGGTAGGTAAGAAACATATCTCTTTTTCCCTCCCTGTTGGGTGGAATGCTGAGCTACAGCTTGAACTGCCACCTTAGTCCAAGAAGTGGGAGCCAGACACGAAAGATAACAAACCCAGGGTGCAAGGGTTTAGCTCAGCGGCACAAGTGCCTGCTTGGCAAGCATGAGGTCGCAAGTTCAATCCCTAGTACGAAAAAAAAGATAACAGACCCAAACACAAAGCCACTGCTGTGACGTTTTCTTCAGCTTAACTGAATCTTAAAATGATATCCTGGATTTCCACAATGCCTGTCAGGGTCTGCAACAAATACAGATCTAGAGAGACGGGAATGACTAAGAGGGACATTTCCAGAGTAACATCCTCAGGAGTGAGAACAAGCCCTGCTGATGGGAAACAGACGGAGGGATCCAAGCATCTCAAGGCCTTGCCTCACTCAGAGACGGCCTCTGGTCAGGGTCAGAAAGCTCCCCCAGCCAGGCATGGTGACACATGCCTGTAATCCCAGCACTCGGTAGGTTGAGGCAGGAGGATCGTGGTGAGTTCAAGACCAGCCTGGGTTACAAAGTGAACTCAGGCCAGCCTGAAGTGCAGAGTGAGACCGTGTTTCAAAAAGACCAAAAAAAAAAAAAGGCACCCCCAGCCTCCAGCATTCCTCCTGGAACAAGACGAAGTGAAAAGCAGATTTGGATTTCAGAAAGGAAACGTCTCTGGGGTGCACGCCCATTGCAGAGTCTACCTCTCATGCAGATGTGAGAAAACAAAACAGAAGACACAAAACCCACCTTGTCCCAACAATTCTCAATACAGAGAAAGACTGAAGTCATACAAAAGATCTCCAACCACAGAAGATTAAATTAGCAATCCACAACAGAAAGAAACCTGGGTAATCCTACATATTGGAAATTAAACAACCCACTTCTAAATAACCTATGGCTCAAAGAACAAAAATAAAACGCCCACTTCACAGTTTGGGCGGGAGGCTCAGGTGGGAAGACAGAGCTAAGTGATGTGCACAAGGACAGCTGAGCCGTGAAGCCCTGGGTCCGGATGCGTGGCAGCAGTCAGAGTGAAGGAGAGGAGACCCCGGGGCCGAGGCTCTGGGAGGGCCAGCACGGTCCAGAACCTGGCCCCAGGAACCTGGGAGCCACAAGTCAACAAGAGGGGCCAAAACAGCCTCCAGAAATGTACACTCTGGTACAGGAAAGAAAGAAATGACTAAGTTCTGAGTGGTTATTGAAAAAAACAAGAGCAACAATTAAAAATAATCAACAGGGGGCGGGTGAGTGTAGGCAGCACGCTATCTTCACTCTTCACTGCTCTTCTGGGCTGGGAGGCCTGACTCTTGCTTCTGCTGTGAAGTGTGGCCCACCCTCAGGTGACAGAACAAGGCTCCCAGCTGCAGGCCCTGCTGGAGGCTGCCGGTGAGGCCCCGCCCACACCCTCGGCCGTGAGGGAGTACCCGGATGGTGCCACTTGCTCGGATGTGGAACTGGGACACTGGCTGCAACTGCTGTCACTGGCCCTGCTCCCATGAGGTATGACCCCACCAGACGCACTGCTTGTGGTGTCACCCATCAGGTGCTCCCCCCTCCCAGCCTTTTCACTGGCGTTTTCTCTGCCTGGAACACTCACTTTCTACTTTGCCATGTGACTTGCAGCGCTCGACTTCGATGCCATTTTCCTGAAAACCCTTAGCTACGAGCTCGTCTTGCTGCCTGGCACATTCTCTACTACAACCTAGCCTCGCCCTGCTGCAAAACCTGTGCACATGTCCACACTCCTTCTAGGGGCACCCATGAGAAGGTCAGCATCCAGCAGAGAGGTGACACAGTAGGATCTATGGAAAACACCAGCATCTATGGGGGAGCTCAGGGTCACACAGGAGATGCCAGAGGTCTGCTGGGCAGAGGAGATGTGGAGGGAAATGGGGAAGTGAGGCTCAGAGGAGGCTGCCCAACACCACCATGGCCAGTCCTGCTGAGCCCAGAGGTGGGTGGTCAGGGCTGGTGCCTCCTAGGTCTCACCTGTGGTGGGGTCATGACTGCTGCCGCTTCACTGTCATCAGAATCCTCCTCACTGCTCTCAGAGCTTTCATGAGCCTCGGCTCTGACATGGGTGACAGTAGGTCTCGCCTTTCCAGCAGGTGCTGCGATGGTGGGCCTTGTCTTCCCAGGGGGCGCTGGGGTAACCCCCTGCCCTGCGGGCCCCTTGGTGGGTGCTGAGGCAGCTTGCTGCTTTGTCTGAATGATAAGTGGGAGAGGGAGAAGCGTCTCACAGGGGCCCAGCGAGCCCGTGGGGCCTGCCCTGAGGATGGGCAGGCAGACGAAATCTTACCTGTGCCACTGCTGCTGCAGGCGTGGCCCCCTCAGCCTCTGACTCCTCACTGCTCAAAGAATCATTCTCTGGCCTCTGCGTGCCCGGAGGCAGAGCGGGTGCTGGTGCAGAAGTCATTGTACCTGCTTTCCAGGGGGCTGGGGTACCCACCCGTACTGGCGGGCCCTTGGCAGATGTTGGGGTGAGGAGGGCGCTTTTTCTGGGAGAAGCCTTGGCCTGAGGTGTTTTCAGAGCTGGTTTTTCCTGTGGGGACACAGCTACTGTCTGTTCTAGGGAGGAGGTCCAGTGCTGTGTTTCCCACCAGCAGAACCCACATCTGACCAAGCAGCCCAGCTCCGGGCTGGGGTCCACAGGCATCCTCCTGTTCCAGGCCTCACCTGAGCCGCAGGAGCGGCTGCTGGTGCCTCCTCCTCACTGTCAGATGACTCGTCGCTGTCGCTGCTGTCTGAGTCTTCCTTGGACATTTCAGTCTTGACTTGAATAGCTACAGGTGCTGACTTTTGAGGGGGCTTAGGAGCAGCCCCTTTCCCCAGCGGCTCCTTGGTGGGGGCTGAGGCTGGTCTGACTTGGAGGTTCTTCCCTGAGGGCTTTGCCTGAAGTGAGATGCACAGGATTAGGAGAGGGAGCCCCAGGTGTGTGGGTACAGAGGCAAAAACCAAGACAGCAAGTAGAGTGCAAGGGGCACACAGAGGCCAGCAGGCCATATGAAGCTCCCAGTGCTAAGAGGAAAGGGACCTTGCAGGGAGGGTCTCACAGGGTCACCCCTGGGGATGCCTCCCCTTCACTCTGACTCCTCCTCCCTGCTGAGTGCTCCTCCAACCTCCCTATCTGGGCCCTGTCTTTCTGGGGAACACGGGGTTGGTACCCTTCCCTGGCAGCCCAGGCAGTGGAGGCAGGTCTGACCTGTGGGCTTCCCCCAAGGGCTTTCCCTGGGAGGGACAAAGGGCAAGACTGGGGCAAGGGTGAGCCCACAGCAGCCCTTTCCAGACAGGGCCTGGTGGTCTCCAGCTCACCTGGGCAGGGCTGGTGGCTGGAATCCGGGGTGCCGGTGTTTCCCCGTCACTGTCCGACTCCTCGCTGCTGCTGCTGCTGTCTGAATCCCTCTTCCGCTTCCCCATCTGGGCCTGGGTGGCCGCAGGTCCTGTCTTCGCAGGGGGTGCCGGAGGGACGCCCTTCCTGGGGGACTCCTTGGCAGGGGCTGGGGCAGCTCTCACCTGAGGAGTCTTCCCCAAGGGCTTCAGCTGGCAGTGACAAAGGTGAGATCAGGAGGAGGTACCCAGAGGGGAGGGATGAGCCCACAGGGGCCTTTCTAGGCAGGGCATGGTGGCCTCCAGCCTCACCTGGACAGGCTTTGCCACTGGGGCCTGGGGTGCTGGTGTCTCCGTGTCACTGTCTGACTCCTCGCTGCTGCTGCTGCTGACTGAGTCCTCCGCCTGCCTCCCCACCTGGGTCTGGGTGGCTGCAGGCCCTGCTTTCCCAGGGCATGCTGGAGGGGCGCCCTTCCTGGGGGACTCCTTGGCAGGGGCTGTGGCAGCTCTCACCTGAGAGGTCTTCCCTGCAGACTTCGCCTTGAGTGAAAGAAGGACAGAGGGGGAACCAGATAGGTGTGTGCAGACAGAGACCCAGTCAGGCCAGTGACACTCCACCTTGAGAAGGTGGCAGAGGTCTTGATCTCAACTCACCTGAGGTGCAGTCGTGGCAGCCGGCATCTCCACCTCACTGTGAGACTCCTCCTCGCTGCTGCTCCCTGAGTCCTGCTCCTGCTCAGGCCTCCCCACCTTGGCTTGCCCAGTTACGGGCCCCACCTTCCCAGGGAGTGCACATGTGGCCCCTTTGCCAGGGGTCCCCTTGGTAGAGGCTGAGGCAGCTCTAACTGGGAGGATTTTCTCAGACACCTTCACCTAGAGAAAGAAGGGGCAGTTTGCTTTCCTTCTTCAGAAGTCCCTCGGGTGACACCTTTGGGTTGAAGCCCAGAGGCCCTAACGGGGCTCCTCTCGCCCTGCCTCTGGCCAGAGCACCTTGCTGGTGCTTTTCGCCCCCTCGCTCTCCCTGCTGCTCTCAGGCTCCGTATGCCTTGGAGCTTTGGTTCAGGCCCCTTCCCAGAAAGCTCCTGGCCAGGCATCCTGGGCCATGCATCCTTCCCCAGAAGACAGCAGCTCCAATCCTTCAGGAAGCTCCCCGTGTGCAAGGCTTGGACACTAGACAGCCTTTGCTTGGCTTGCTACTTTTCAAATTTTTGAATCACGTAGAATCCAAATTTTCAGCCAAAGCTCCAACTTTGGCTCCTGGAAAGTGACTGCCTCACAAATTCATCACCCAGCAAAACCATTCAGAGCTGGGTTAGGGCAGGGCAGGGACTGAGTCCTCAGAATGTCACCATTCTCACCCTGCTCCCTCCTCGGGGAATCTGCTGTGCTCCCTGCTGGGACAACCTTCCAAAGGTGGCCCCACGGCAGGCATCCTGTCTCTTCGGCTGCACATCTACATCCTGGGGTCCCCTCCTGAGGCCGCCCCTGCCCATCCTATGCCCATTCCTCCTCACTCTTGCCCTTCCCTGTTCCCATTCCAACCGTTTCCCAGGCCCTATGGCTTGTCCTTGGGATGAACCAAGGGCCTTGGGGAACAGGCCAGGCTGCTGCCCAGGCAAAAAGATCAGTAGGCAGAGGGAGATGAAGATTCCTTTAACTAAGCTGGGTGTGGTGGCACTCACCTGTAATCCCAGCACTTGAGAGGCTGAGGCATGAGGATCACCCTGAGTCTGAGGCCAGCCTGGGCTACAGAGAATGAGACTAGTAGTTCAGGCTGGCCTTGAACCCACAGTGATCTCCCTGCCTCAGGGTCCCCTGAGTGGGGATTACAGGCGAGCCCCACCACACCCAGTCTGATTCCGTTAGCTCACAGTGTTTGCCGGCTCAGTGTCTGGTATGGTTTGAGAAGCCAGAGGACCAGCAGTACTAACTGGGATGAGAATAGCAGCTCCGTTAGCAGGCAGAGACACCAAGGCAAATGGAAGGGTCATGACGGATTGAGACACAGAGCCCACCCCAGGAACCGGCTGTCCTAGGCTATATGTGATGACCCAGAAGGCGCTGTAGCCGCCAGCCCTGTGTCCTTTCTCTCCTCTCTCACCAAGCTCCACGGTGGCCTCTCTAGCAGAGGTGCTCACAGCGCAGTGGCTCAGCCAGCACCTGGCCATGGCAAGTGGGGCTCACCTGGCTGGGGGGCTCTTCCTCACTCTCAGACTCCTTGCTGTTCCCTGGATCCTCTTTCAGCACTTTGGCACTCCCAGCTGGGGTGAGCGCACCTCCTCCGGCTTGGGGTACCAAGCCCCCGACTTTCCTAGGGCTTGGGGCCACCTTATTTGCTGAAGACTCCTTGGCAGGGGCAGGTGAGGGCCTGACCTGGGCTGCTTTCCCTGAGGACTTGACCTGGAACGAGGGATGAAATCAGAAAACGGTAACAACTGTCTCCTGTAGGGTGGAAGGCCACAGTTCATGGCCCTCTCCTGACAGCACTTCATTCTCAAACAGCACCCTGAGATGTGACACTAGCTTTACACCTATTTTCCAGAGAGGTACGAATGGCTCAGGTCAATGCAGAGGCCCCAGCTTGAACCCCTGGCTCTCTGTTACCACACTTGGCCCCCACAGGGCGCAATCTGATCTGAAAGGGACACTCTCAGTCAGGAGCACTTGCTTTGCCCCTTCAACTAAACAGGCTGACCATGTGGCATCCTGAGGTCAGCAGCCTAGCCCACCACTGGCTTGCTGAGATATCATGGGAACATTCCTTTCTTCTGTGAGCTTTCCCTTTGACCTTTCTCTCTTTTTGTCTATTAGAGACAGGGTTTCACTATGCAGTTTAGGCTGGCCTTGAACTCACAGAGACCCTCCTGCCTCAGCCTCCCGAGTGCTGAGGTGTGTGCCACCATGTCTGGTCTTCCCTTTGACTTCTAAAAGTACTTTCCCAAGGTGCATCTCCTCCGTGCTCCATTGGACACATCTGACCCACGGCACTGCTCTCACCCACGTCTCCTCACTGCCTGAGAAGCTGCACCTAGCGTTGGTTTCCAAGGGGCAGAAGTGGCTTCCTTCTCAAGGCCTGAAGGGATGGCAGCCAGGTGCCTCCTCACGGTGGGCTCCACCTTTGGTGAGGGTGCAAGGTGGGGAGCTGCACACAGCTGGGCCTGCGATAGATGGGTGGTCTCTACCTTCCAAGGTTACTGGGGAGGTGACAGTACTTTGGGCACCAGGTCAATCCATCCCTGACTTTCCTTCCTGTTTCGGTCTTTCAGAAAAAACTTTTATACTGGACACTTCGATCCCTGTCACATGCACTTCTGCCACTAGTACCTCAATGTGCAACCCCCAAACTGTTCCTGCTGCTTTTATTGTCTGTACTGCCCTTCAATCCAGGTCACTGCCAACCATCTTTGCAAAACATAAATCAGGCCATCTTCCCTCTGTGCCTGAAACCTGCATGGCTTCACACTGTCTGCAGAATAAAACTCAGACTTCTATGCAGAACTCCAGGAGGGGCAGTAGATATAGCCTGTCTACTTGTGAGCCCTTCTTATATCATTTTCCCTCTCGGCCATAAAACTGCACATCTTTGTTCCTCAGAAACATGATGTGCATCTGTCTCTGCCCCTGTGCCCGTGCCTCCGCATCAGAGTTGGGGGTGCTACTGCTGTCCCTCTGCTCCTCACTGTCCCTTTACAGTAACCATCCCTCACATAGTAAAACTAGCTAAAAGCCCTTCCTTATGCATGGAGGCAGGATTCTCCACCCCCACCCCACCCCCACCCCAGCAGTGTGCTCCTGAGGTCTAGCACTTAGTCGATATGTAAGAAATGACCTGTGGGGACCTCTCCCAAGTCAAAGTTCAGAGAAGACACAAGGCCACACCCTGAGCAGCCTGACCAGTCCTGGCCTACTGTTAAGGCTACCACTCAGCTGTGGGTTCAGAATCCACTCAGCAGCATCATCCTGACCACACGTGACAGCTACACCTCTGTGCAGGCCTTTGCTCCTGCAACTTTTCCTTTGGACTGTCCTCTTGGCCCCCACTGTGCTCTAGGAGGCCTTGCCCTGTGTCTCCCACAACCCTGGCCATTCTGAGTAGCACTGGACTTGTCACCCCCACCCCCCACCCGACCACAGCCTTCCCAGCCTTTGGTGAAGTCGCTGCATGAATCTGGACCCACTGGTGTCTGAGCACCACCAGGCTCTTAGAGTGACAGGCTTGGAGAAAGTAACTCTTGAGGACAGGTGTCAATTACCTCCACATCTGTTTCATCGCTGGAGCTGGAGCTGTCCTTGCTGGAGTTGTCCACCTGGTCAGCTGACACGGTCCCTGAGGGTGAACACAGAGGACTGAAGTATACTTTTCCCAAACTCCCTCGCCCCTCTCCAGGGCCAGCGACTGTCACATCCGGTGCTAAGCATTTGCTCCTTGCCTGCATGAGGCTGTGGGTTTATCCTCTCCAGAAGCCCTCAGCTGAGATGGGAACGCTCGTCACCCCTATTTCCTACACATCTGAGGCCCTGGAAGGGCTAGAATAGGACTCCAGAAACACACACCAGCAACTGGCAGTTTATAAACTCTCCACTATCAGGTCCACAGAGGCAGGAGGGCAAATGCCCATTTTACACAAGAAATGAATGCACAGGCCAGGCATGGTGGTACATGGCTGGAATACTAGCACTCAGGAGGCTGAGGCAGGAGGACTGCTGGGAGTTCAGGGCCAGTATGGACTACATAGTGATTCCAAGGCCAGCCTGAAGTTCAGAGTGAGGCCTTGTCTCAAAAAGGAAAGAAAAGGTGTTCAACCTAGATCTGTGGTATCTTGAAGCCACCACAGCAGTCCCTGTATGTTCAGACACCCTCTGAGAAGCCCCAGTGGTGTCCAGCAGCTGCCCCTCGCTGGCATGGAGCATACTTCTGAGTTCCACAATGTCCCAAAGTTTAAGAAAGCATAGCCTTGGCTCAGCTCCTGGAGGTGGGGGCTTCTCACCAGGTATGGCAGTGGCTCCAAGGGCCCGGATGCTGCCTTCCTCCTCGGTTTCTGAGACCAGGATGATACTTCCTGAGGACTGTGCTGACTTCTTGGGTGACTTTCCAGAAAGAAAGTGGCCCGCTGCTTTCCCCGGGGCGAGGTGTGGCATAGAGTTCATGGTCTTGCTGGTGCTCCTGGCCTGTGCCTGCACAGCATAGGAGTGGCAGGCAAACCTAGCTCAGGGGGGTACACGGCCCACTCCCACTGAAACCCCCACTGCTGCTTCCTAGCTGGGCGAGTTGGGCAAACAGCCCTCACGGAGGCATGTGAGCATGGCATTAAAGTCGCTAAGTAGAATGTAGTTGTTTGTTGTGGGTATTATCATTCCTTCCTAATTACTTTTGCACACTATTGCCAATGTTCCACTTTCGGATACATAATGCTTTATAGGTCTGTAACACGACTTTATGAGTTACCATAAAATACACTTATTTTCTAGGTAGTTTCTGATTTACACAATGCAATCAGAGTTCCAGAAATACAGGCATGTTGCTTGCAATGGTACCTCCACTGCCTAGGGCAGTGCATGGAACCTACTGGGATTGGCAAATAGCCCCTTGGAGAAGAACTGAGCACAAGGCACAGGAGGAATGAAGCTGCTCATCACAGATGCATACTGGTACCCAGCAGCATCACCTGCAACAGCAGCATCTGCATCTTATAGAAAAAGACACCGAGGCTCAGAGAGGATGAGACTCCATAGTTGTTGACACGGGTTAAGATTTGAGTCTAGGATGGGCAATATCCTTGTCTGGTACAAGAGACTGTCCCCCTGCAGGGCACTTGAGTTCTCACGCGCAATCGCTTGGACAGTGATCCCACTCACCTTGGCCTTTTCTTTCATGCTTGATGGCAAATCCACTCCCCTGGCTAAGGAGTTGGTAGATGCTGGTCTTGGGGCTGCAACACACAAATCCATCTGGATGAAGCAAATGAGCTTTTCTCCCCCAAGCGTGGCAGGCGGGTTTCATCTCATCTAACTGCAACTGGTACTGGCTGCCTGGTGCCACCATGAGGGGTTGAGGCGGAGCCCAAACAGCTCTGTAATCCATCAGCCATGGCCAGCAGGTAACATAAAGCTCTATGTCTACACCTCCCAGGGCCTCCCAATTACCCTGTGGCAGACGGTGCTGAGGACCCCCCAGGGGACAGATTAGCTTACGCTCCCACCACCTATACCACAAGACACTGCACAACTCAGGCCCCTGCACTTTGCTCTAAAGGCTACTCACATGGCCAGCTGCTAGCCACAGGCCACGGAGAAAGCTGCTGAGAATCCCAATGGCTTCCTAGTGGAGACAGCTGAACCATGAGTCTTGGGCCATTAGATGCTAAATGTTAATACATTTTTGGTGCTTGAAATAAAAGAAATAATCTCCTTGGGATCTCAGACAGACAGGAAAAGATTTCTAAGTTGTTGTTAAAGAGAACCAGCGCTGCTGAGATGAACAGCACAATCTCACTCTTTGCCTAGCACTTCACTGTCTCTCCTCTTTCTGTAATTATGCAGTTTTAAGCCCATTTATAAGTAGGGAAGCAGTGTACTGACTCTCACCAGGGTTGGCTCGGGGCTGGTCTTATTTCACCCACTGCTCTACCTGCCGTTCCCCATCGTGCATCATTGTGAAGAAAACACCAGACCCCCTGTCATTTTGCCCACAAATCCTCCAGCCTGTTTCCCTCACTGAGGACACTGAGAAGTACAATCACAACTAACTGTGACGGCTTTAGAAATGGAGGGAACAGTGAGGTAGGAGAAGGATAGGGAATGGGGGGAAAAAGAATTCAGATGTATTGTCTACAGGTACCCACTCCCCATGATACACGTGACCACTGTGTACTGCCAACCTGCGCTAATAAACGACTAACATCAAACAGTACGAGATGTGACCACTTCTGTTTTAAGGAGAATACAGGAGGCACACATGCACGTGTAGATGGATATCTGTTTGACCGTGGTGGCAAGGGAAGAAGTTAAAGTTTCACAGCTACTCACCAAGACCATGAATAGAAAGTGAAAGAGGACAGGCAGAGAGAACAGGAAACCTGTCATTTCCTACATGCTTTTGTAGTTTGGAGCAAACTTGTTTTTCATTTATAATTTAAGGAGATTAAACATGATATAAAATATATATTCAGTAATATCTCAAACATCTTTAAAAGGTGGCTCAGGGAAAATAGATGGAAGAATAATTTGCTGAATTGTAGGTGACAAGAATATATGTGATTTCTTCTCTGATTTTTTTTTCAAAGTAATTTTCAAATATTCTATAATGAATACTTTATAATGAATCCTGCATCTCCTTTATAATCAGAAACCATATTTAAAACCAAGAAAGTATCTTGTGAATAAGCCAAAAAAAAAAAAATGGTAACACGATGCTTAAGAGACAGCAATGGTGTGATGGGCTGCGGCTGGGGAAGAGGGGAGGGGGAGGTGTGGGGGCAGCCGGGGGCTGGGAAGGAGAGGGGTGGTAGAGACCCAGGTCACCCTCCAGTGCTCTAAAACCACAGTGCCCGGCTTGGCCCCAGCGTTGCTCAAGCACACCCTGCCAAAATAGAGAGACAATCAGCAACTCTCAAGCAGCCCTCAGGCCACTCAAGAGGGACCTTTGGCAGATGCTGTCTGTCTACCTCCATCAGGATCACCTAGAAGCAGTCCTGGGTCCACTGGGCCGGGGCGGTGTATGTAGGGCCCACCTGGGTTTCTGGTTCACCCTTGGGTTCCCAGAGCTTGACACAACTTAACTCTCACCCTAAGGTGCAGCAATTTTTGCCTGACTGCGAAGCCCAAGCCCTGGCAACGCCCAGCAGGCGGGGCTCTTACCAGCTTTGGCAGTTCTGGCTTCTGCCTCTTCGTCTTCCTCCTCCTCGTCTGAGCTCTCAGAGCTGCTGAGGGGGTCTGACACGCGAGTCTTCTTGGCTTGCAGCGCTGCATCGTCTTCTGCCTTCCGCTTCTGGCCAAGTTCAGAGGTTCTGCAGGTCGAGGGTACAGGATATGCCAAGGGGGTGTCAGGACACCTCCGCAAGACCTGGGCAGACAGACCTTCACCTATCCTCCCAGTCCCCAAAGGAAATGCACCGTCCAGTGACGACAACATAATGTAGATACAGTTTTGCGTTCTGCATCTACACTTATTTTTTGAAATGCTTTTACAATTCTTAGATTGGAAAGTTATCTTTAAAGTCTTGAAGATAATCACAAGTGACCCACAGTGTCTTAGAACAGCCAAGGCTAGCAGTCACACAGTGACCGGGGCCTGGCCCACTCAGGCTCCCTCTCCTGAGAGCCCGCTGCCTGGGCCATGCCCCCTCTCAGGCCGGGTCCTTGCCTTCCCCTTTTTGCACTTCACTTGGCCCCCTCAGAGCAACCCTCAGCTGATGTCCACCCCTCTTTGTCTGCCCTGCCATCCGGTTTCATTTCCTCTTGAGCACTTTTCTGTATCTCCTGTTATTTACTTTAAGCCTAGCAGAGGGTGAGGAGGGCTGGCAGCTGACTATAGTACTCTGTGTACCTCACAAACTTTTTTTTTAAACTCCTAAAAACAGAAGTTTTATTACAAACAGGAATGGTGAATACTGGCTTAAATATCCTCTAGTCAGCTTTGTCTCTGCCTCCCAGGGCCATGCAGGATGGCTCAGGGCTCCCGGGATGGAGCAGAGCTCGTCCTCCCAGGGGAGCCCCTGTGACCCACTGGGCTCCGGAGCAAGAAAAGGCAGGAAGCAGAGACTTCCCATGTCACTTTCCATGCTCTGAGGAGAGATAGAGTAGAGATAGAGATGGTACGGAACCACCTCGTCACTATTTTGATAAGAAAGTACAGCTCCCAGCTTCTTGCCTAGATTTAGGCCAACCTTCAGCCACCTCTAGGCCTACCCTGCTGCTCCCTTTCCCTTTCAATGGAAGCCCTCAGTTGGCAGAAATACTGTCCTTTAGACCCCTGCACTGGGTCTCATACTCAAGAGCTCAGATGGGGTGGGGGTGAGAGCCACTCCCCAATGCCACCATCCTACTTCCCATAGATCCGAGCCCCATCATGTCTGGGCAGGTCCCAGCTGGAAGCCTAACGGGGGCACTGGGTGGCAGAGTCCTCAGCTATGGTTACCTAAGGTCCTTGGAGGAAGGGATGCGAAGAGGATGGGGGCTGAGCCCCAATGGGAGCCCAAGGTTCTGTTGTGACCAGTGCACATAGTCCCTTGGGCCATCCCCCAACAGGGATGGAGAAGGGGGCAGCCCAGGGATGTGGGGGTCACCTACATTCATGCAGGGACACACACACTCATGGCCTAGGCTCTTGGAACAAAAACTTATTAAATCTAACAGACTTTACCTGGCACTACACAGATAGCAATATGGCTCATTTCTGTTTAAAAAAGGCTATGTAAAAAAGAGGTCTATAAAACTGTCTAAAATCCCAGCATTAAGAAACCTATTTAAGTGTTGCCAGTATGAGCAAAGATTACCCATCCTCAGCTTCGCCTTTGGAGAGATGGGACACAGCTGCCATGGGCAACGCGGTGGCCCCCTTCCCACTCTGCTGCCCAGCACTCTGGGAGCTGAGATTCTGGGCGCCTGGCTGCTCGAACACATCTTGAGGAAGGAGCCCTGAAGTGTGAGGAGCACATGTGGGGCACGGGCGAGGAAAGTCCCCAGAGGGTCAAGTCCCTGGAGCTTGAGTATCCCTGACCCCACCCTCCTGCCCTGGTGAATTGCCGTCCATGCCCCACGCTCCAGCTGGCAGGACAGTGCTCTACCACAACTGGGCACGTGCGGCTCAGAGGCCTTATTCCCAGGAAGGCCACTTGTCAGCAATCTTCGAAGAGCAGATTTCACTGATTTCCTACATCAGTTAGCTGGGCTTCTTTCTTCCCCACAGAATACAGACGAAAGAGATGGGAATTTGCTCCCTGCTCTATCAAGAACAGCGCCTGGGACTTCCGGGAGAACATGGCGGACAGATAACAGCAACTACCAGAGGCTCACTGAAAGACTCGGCTCAGAAGCCAGGAATGGTGCGGACTAAGGAGACATAAGCAGGTGGAGATATGCTCTGCTGACTCAGGAACGAACTGGGCTGAGAGAAACCAACTTGGAATGCAGTCCTGGCGCTAAAACAGGAACAGAAAAGCCTCGGTGTGGAGGCTGGACCCCGCGCCATTGTAAGCCGCAATTTGGGTTTCCTGCCGCGCGGCGGCTGGCTGCCTCTACAGTGGTTCGGCAAGGAGAGAGACGCACGGAAGCTCTGAGAACGGCAATCTGCGAACAGAGTCGAAAACAGGACGGGCAGAGAGGCGTGCACTGACTTGTGGTGAGGTGAGTGAGAGAAACTGACACTCTACCACAGTTTGACTCCAGCAGAGGACTTTCTGGGCCCGAGCAGTCCTGCGGGAGCAGGGCGCGGTGGGACTCCAGCCACACATCCCCCTCTCGGGCGGGATTGGTGAAAAGTGCCTGGCCTGCGTGACGCTGCCGGCGGACCTAGTAGGCTGTCCCAACCTAGATCCCAGAGCCTGACGGTGGCTGGGAGGGGAGACGCGTAGGCTGCCTGGTCTGTAACTCCCTGGTGCGCAGCAGTGAGCGGGAACACCTAACTGGCGCAATTCGATCAGGCTGTGGCTGACTGGGAGAGAAGCTGGGCCTCTTATATAAGCTTGCATATATAAGGAACAGAGAAGAAGAGGCAGCATGGGAAGAGGCAGCAATAAGAAAGGCTCCTCGGCCCCCAATTCTGAGAAACAGGCAATAGCAGACACCGCACCAATACACATAAGGCGCCATATAGAGAGCCTCATAGACCAATTCAGGAATGAAGTTATCAACGACCTGAAGCTAGAAGTATGCAGAATAGTTAGAGAAATGCTAAGTACCACCCAAGAAAAAACAGGTGGTGGAATGGAAGAACAGAAAAAAAGGGGAGAATTGTTTGATGGAGAAAACAGAGAAAGCATAGAATTCGTGAAGCAGGTTCAAAGGGACTACCAAGATACTAAGAAGTCTATCGAAGACTGGCATAACAGCTTGAAAGAAACTAAGGACAGACTATCTGAACTGGAGGGCAGACTTGTAATATGGGAGAATGAAATGAAAAACTTCTTAAAAATAACAAAGAAACAAACAGCAATAATACAAAGACAAGAAGATGATAAGAGGATCCATAACTTAAGGATTAAGAACATAAAAGAAGAAGTAGGGACACAAACAAGTGAACTACAAAAGCTACTCACAGAAATAATCCAGGAGAATTTTCCTAATTTAGCAAAAGGTAAAGATACTCAGATGTATGAGGCATACAGGACCCCAGCCACCTACAACCCAAACAGATCTACACCCAGGCATATAATAATCAGAATTCCAGAAATTCAATACAAGAACAGAATATTAAAAGCTGTCAGAGACAAGAAACAGACCACTTACAAGGGAACACCCATCAGAATTACAGCAGATTTCTCTGCACAAACCATCAAATCACGAAGAGCATGGGGGGAAATAATTCAAGCTTTGAAAGATAATAATCTCCAGCCAAGATTGAGATATCCTGCACAACTGTCCCTGGAAATTGATGGAAAAACAAGGTGCTTCCAGGATAAAGAGGAACTGGGGGAATTTGCAACCACCAATTCAACTCTACAGAGAGTATTGCAGGATATTCTAAAAAAGAAAAATACAAAGAATCCAGAAATAATGGCAGAGAGGCCACAACGAATGGAGCAGAGAACAAAATGAAGAAGACAAACTGACAGCTACTGACAGAAAAAGAGCTCAACAGAAATGAGACAGAGAAGATTGGATGATAGGAACAGCTGTTTTGGAGAAAATGACATCTTAATAGGTAATACTGATTTAAAAAAAAAAAAAAAAAAAAAAAAAGAACAGCGCCTGGCTTGTATTAGGTGCACAATAAATATGGGGATGAGGGTGGGGGGCAGCTCCCAATGGCTGGGTCCAGCACACAGACTACTACGTACAATCTTTGCAATACAATGAGATAATTACATTATTTTCATATTTACAGAAGAAAAAAGACCAAGAAAATACAGCTCCTGGCCAAGAAAGCTGCTTCAGGTCACAACTGGTTACTGATTCTGATTTGTGGCTGCCTCAGATGCTCGTCCCACTTCATGCCCCTCAGGCACAGAGGGGGCCTGTGGCAACAGAGAGTGTGCGGCCCCTATGGTTTCCTAGGGAGGTACAGTGAGCACGCCAGCCTGCCTGGTCTCCGAGCCCACCTCGAAGCAGGAGAGAGCCAGGGGATGCAGCTGGTAGTGTTTTCAATGCCCCTCCCCCTCTCCCAGGAGCCAGGATCTGCACCATCCCTGTCTCGGCTTGAATGCTACCCATGATAGGGAACTCGCCGTTCCCAGGTGCCCACCGCATTTTTGGGTAGCTCAGATGAGACGTGTTTGTATACAGAAGCGAAATTGGTCTGTCTAAAGCAGGTATAGACACAGAGCACCCCTACCCCCTCTGCCATGAAGCCACTTCCTTTGTCCTCAAAGATGTGCACGGCGGTGCCTCTGCACTTCCCAGGGCTCGCTACCGTTCTTCACAGCTGGCTATGGTCAAGCCAGTGGGGGGAAAGCACACAACCATGCTTTCCTTCCTTCTTTTTTTTTTTGTCTTTGTGAGACAGGGTTTCATTATTACGTAGCTAGGCTGGCCTCGAACTCACATGATCCTCCTGCCCCAGCTCCAGAGTGCTCAGATCATAGGCATGCGTCACCACACCTGGCTTCTTTTAAAAATTTGACTTGATTTTTGAACATTTAACATGCAGGGGAAAAGGAATCCTTCTCCACTGTTGGTGGGAGTATAGCCTGGTGCAGCCACTCTGGAAATCAGTAGAGCGATTCCTCAAAAAACCAGGATTGGACGTCCCATTTGACCCAGCTGTTCCCCTTCTCAGTATCTTCCCCAAAGAATTAAAAACATCACACCACAGCGATACATGTGCACCTATGTTTATAGCAGCACAATTTGTAATAGCTAAATATTGGAATAAACCCAAATGCCCATTAAATGAGGACTGGATTAAAAAGATGTGGCATTTTTATATACTGGAGTACTACTCAGCAATAAAGGATAAACTTGAGATGTTAATAGGTAAATGGATACAACTTGAGACCATATTCCTAAGTGAAATAAATCAGAGTTGCATGTGTAAAATTCATAATCTTCCTGGTGAGAGAGGCTGAAAGGAATATTTGTGTGTATGACAGTTGAGATAGCTTTACTACTCACTTCTCTTAGTTCATTGAAAAGAATGGTTTGTGCTAATATTGTTTGGACACTGAATGCAGACATCTTATACTCTGAGTAACTACAGATCATACACAATGTATTAGCTGTTGTTACTGTCTCTTAATTGTGTTTTGAAATTTTGTTATTTTTTTGTCTTTAAAATAAAATTAGCCTGTTGGGCGTGGTGACTCACGCCTGTAATCCCAGCACTAGGGAGACTCAGGTGGGAGGATCCTTGCCAGTTTGAGACCAACCTGGGCTACAAAGTGAGCTCAAGTTCAGCCTGAACTGCATAGCGAGACCCCGTCTCAAAAAAAACGGACAAAAATAAATAAACAAACAAATAAATAAATAAAATAAAATTAGGGCCTGGGATTTAGCTCAGTGACCTAAGCAACTGCCTGGCAAGTGTGAGGCTGTGGTTTCGATCCCCAGTACCAAAAAAATATTAAATTTACAAAGTTAGTATGCAAAGTAGCCCAGGATGGGCCTGAATTTGTGATCCTCCTGCCTCAGCGTCCTAGAGTGCTGGGCTTACAAGATGATGGGGTGTGCTATCATGCCTGGCTCTGCTGCCATTTTTCCATGGGACGGGTTTATGGTACTTCACTGCCCAATCAGCTGTGATCAGGTGAGTACGGGAGGTAACAGATCACCCACCCTTCATTCTTTATTTCTCTGTTGATACACCCTTGGGTTAGTCTCCCTTCCTTGGAAAACCTTAAGTTTTACAAGTTTAAAACTGCAGCACTCTGGGAGGCTGAGGGAGGAATTATTACATAGTTTCAGCCCAGACTGGGCAATTTAACAACTTAGGGAAATTTTGTTTCAAAATAACAAATAACAAATAAAAAAGGGTCTGGGAATACAGCTCAGTGTCAAGGCTCTGAGTTTTATCTTCCAGGACCACAAAAACCAACCAAATGTATTTCAGAGGCATTTTACGCTTAACGTGCCTTTGGAATCCATCCTTCCATATTGAGTTCCCTTTCAGTGCCACACATCGGCCCACTTTCTACCTACGCATGTGAGCCAGACCTGGAGTGCACTAGATCCTTCCTCTCTAACTCACCTGCAGTTGTGGTTTCCTCCCCTAATATTCCTGGCACTGCTGTCCTCCCCGAGGATGTCCATAGGCCCAACTGGTCCTCCCACTTCAGAGAGCCCTCACTCTGTGCCTGCCCTTCCATGGCTCCCACTGCTCTGGGGTAGATGCCTTCTCACCCCGGATGGCCAGGCCCTGCAGACGGCTGGCTTCACCTGTCCTGTCCCCTGGCCACTGCAGGGTCCACCCTCCCTGCTTCTCTATACCCATGGCCTAGTTCAGTCCCATTTCCCACAGCGCTCAAGACAAAGGGCATCTCAGGGACGTTTCCCTGAAGCGTGTAAGGTCCTCTCTCTGGTAATCTTTCTATCATTACGATTTTATGTTCATTCGCTTCGTTCTCTGACACCTGACTAAGTCCTTGACTACAATGTTAGCTGCAAAGATGGACAGTCAGGCCTGTCTCACTTATGACATGACTTGGCATTCCACAGATGCTTATAAATGTTTGTTGACTGAGTGAATAACAGGCTGGGGAGAAGCTTTGTTTTGTCTGAGACAGGGTTTTGCTATGTAGTTCATGCTGGCCTCAAACTTGTGACAATCCTGCCTCAGCCTTCCAAGTGGTGGAGTTACAGATGTGCACCACCAAGCCCAGCAAGAAGCTTTTGTTCTTGAGGTCATAACTCTCAAGGTCCCATCCCACCACTAGACAGCCACAGTCCACGTGACCTGGCTTCTGAGGCGTGACAAGAATGTCTATCGTGGGCTATGAGGGGAGACCTTAGCCCAGACTAGTATCTTAGTTTATTTCAAGATGACTGTTTGGGGTGTCCCAATCCCGCCCTTCAGCTTCACCAAACTTACTGTTGCCAGTGTGTATAGATGTCCAAAAGGGTGAAAGGCTGAGCCAGGAAACTCTTCTGCAAAAAATAAAGAGAAAGTTGCGATCAGCCTCCAGCACAGGAAAGACCGCCTCTCTCAACCTCAGACTTGCACAGACAAATGGTCCGGGGCAGGATCTTCTGACTCTGGGAAGTGCTCCTGCACAGCCCTGCCAATAACATTCCAGATCTTCCCGAGACAAGAAAGGCAAGCGATTCCAGGTAAAACCTTGTAATATCCCATGAGGTTGGCTGGAGTTGGAACATTCCGAGCTAACAATTATTTATCCAGCTTCCCTGGCACTATCCACACCTACATTGCTATGAGATGAGCTTCTTCTACCCCAGCCTGACCTTTCAGAAGGCCTTCAAAGGCAGTCAATCTCCCCAAAGTACTGTCTCTACCTCGAGGCGGCCAGGTGGCACAAGCACAGCCTACTGGTCTGTGGGAAAGAGACTAAGCCTACAGGGCACCAGTTTCTTGGCAAAAGCAGAAGCAACCAGGTAGAATCCAGAGCCTTGCAGCTGAGGCCAGAGGGCCTACTCTCTGTAAAGACACAAGAACCCAAACGTGTCAAGCGCTCCACGGAGGCTTATGAACAACGTGGCAGGAACACAGGGTGGCAGCAACCTGAGTGGGCAGAGAGGCCAAGAGGCACATGTGGAGTCAGGCAGAGCTCCTGTCAACCTGCTAATCTCTCTACTTCTTCAAACTGCAGGATCTCTTTTGAAAATAGCAGTACGCACAGTCCAGGTTGCTATCAGGCTGAAGGAGACAGGCTTGACAGTGTACAGCACAGGGAGCTAGGACTCCAAGTCTGGGCACAGTGGCCTTTTCATTGCCTTCGAATGTGTCAGGCCCCAATCTCCAGCGGGGCTTTTGCCATTCTTGCTGTCTGGAATGCTCTCTCCTCTGCTAACCATATTCACTCCTTTCCTTAGGTCTCAACCACACTGTTGCTCCTCTGTGAGGCTTCCCTGGCCGCCCCACTCCCACCTACACCTGGACTCTGACATTCCTTCTCCCCCTTGCCTGCCTTACTGTGACACCCAGCACCTACCATGGACCGCATAAACTACACTCTGAGCTCTGATTTGTATCTGTCACTGTCTGCTCCTGCTAGGCAATCCGCTCCACGAGGGCACAGAAGAGCAAGATACTTTTGCCCAGGCACAAAATGTAACGACCATGGGCACTACCTCTAGCTCCCTTTCTCTGTTAAATGATATAATTGGAGAAAACAGGAAACTGAGTTCCAGAAGGTTGGGAAAACCACAGATAACTTCCTAGGATTCCTCACCCTTTGGTTCCTGCAGGAGATCCTGAGAGCAAGAGTTAGGACCACAGCCTTACTGTAGCCAAACTGATACTGACTAGTCAGCTCAATACCCAGCTCACCAGCTAAAACTCTGCCACAGTTTACCAGCGCTCCTCAGGCAAAGACAAATTGCCCAGGGAGAGATCAGACCAGCCCTCACCTCCATGGCAGACTGCAGGCTTTGTTTTTCACACTTTGGCCCCACCAGTCCCCTCTGGAGGCCACGGTGTACACGCGCTGCCCCTTCCTACACCAGGCAGTTTGCACCATGGCCTGCAGTACCTCCCCCTCCTTCAGAGCTCAGAGGAGCTGTCACTTCCTCAGGAAAGCAGTCCTGATGAGGGCACTCTGCCATTCCTCTTTTAGCATCCGGCGCCCCTCAGTGCACACTTTTGGATTCTTTAATGTGTAGCCTCTACACACTCTAAGACTCAGGAAGGACGAGGCATGGTGCTCACCACGCCTATCACCAGCACCCCGAGCACCTGACTAACACTTGTTGAATGAATGAAGAACGGGGAAACCAAAACCAAAAGAACTTTCCATTCCCCCAAACTGTCCTATCAGTACCGAGCAAGGCCAAGAGCCTGAGTTCCAGATCAACGACTACAGCATCCCTCTTCTTGGGGCTCTCAGTGGGGAACCTATGGCTTCTCACCCCAAAGCCAACAGCCACCTCTGTGGTCCAAGGGGGCTGTGCCGGACCACGTGGCTGGAGACTTAGAAAACTTAACACCGCCACTATCAGGAAGGTGGTGGAAGTGAGGGGCTCAGAAATTTCCACTCCCTGGGCGTTGGATCCCAAGTCCCGGCCCGCCCAGTACACGGACGGGGAAACTGAGGCCGAGGCGGGGGCTGGAAGTAGCTGAGGGTAGGCAAGGGCTACAGATCCCTCCCGCAACCCTGGACTCCCAGCCTAGAGTCCCGCGGGACCCGGGGCCGGTCAGATCTCCCCGGGTCGGTCAGGTCTCCCGGGTTGGGGGCGCGAGCCGCCGCTCTCCGGATCCCGCACGCGGGCCTGCGAACGCTTACCTGGCCGCTCTGTTCCTTCACTTCCCGCGCCGCGCGCACGTAGCCCGCGTGCAGCAGATGCTGGTAGATCAGGGGAAGCAGCTCCCGCCGCTTCCTGGCCTCTGCCATGCCCGCGACCCCCGGCCCACCGGCTCACCTGCAAGCCCCTCCTTGGTCCCGCCCGCCGCTTCCCTTGTGCCCTTAGACCCCAAGTACCCCACTTCCGGCTGCTGCTTTGCCTCGGCCGCGAGGCGCGCCGGGAAGTGTAGTCTCACACCCTGGAGCGGCAGGGCGGAGCCTCGGAAGGCAACAAGCCCTCCCATTGGCTAGGGGGTAGGACTAGCCTTGGACCCGCCCCGCGGGTCGTCCCTACAGGAACCACTTCCTCTTAATCCTTCAGACTTTATGCTTGAAGGAATTTGTCTTGGTGTTAATACTTTGAAGGGGGAACGGGAGCCTTTACTTATCTCTTAATTCCCAATCTCCTCGACATCTCTCACTGGATCCAAACTTCTGGTTTCTTGTTTACTGATTTCTCAGTTTTGTCTTGTTTTTTTGGTACTGGGGATTGAACCCAGGGCCTTTGCCTTGAGCTACATCCCAGACCTTTCCTTACTTTTTAAAACGGGATCTACTAGGTGTGAGTTTGATCCCTCCGTACTACAAACAGACCAAGAAAAAAGAAAAGAAAAGAAAAAAGGATCTAGCTAAGTCTCTGAATTGCTTGGGCTGGGATTGAATTTGTCACCCTGACTCATCTTCTTGAGCCCTGGGATTACAAGTATATGCCACCATGTCTGGCACATTTCACATGGTTTTTTTTTTTTTTTTTTGACTTATGAACCATGCGTGAGTTGTTATTACTTCATGCATGGAACACATCTTTACTAAGCATCCTACCATGGGCTAACACTGGCTAGGTTAAGGGCAAAAAGAGGAAAAAAGAAAAAGACTAAGACATAGAGATTGCCCTCTAAAGTGGGAGGGCAAGAGACTTAGCTGGTAATCAAGCAACTATAGTTTTAATGTCTGGTGTGTGTTGTCATTGTTGGGTACAGCACAGCTCTTGGGAGCACAGAGGAGGGGCACTTCACCCCAAAGAGACATCTGAGTAGGCGTTTCTAGATGCAAAAGAGAGGGCTGGTACAAAGGAGGGGACGATGTATGAGTCAGGATAGGAGAAACTACCCTGGGATAAGCTGGGAACCCCGACACCCCTGTGCTGCTGGTTGATGGATGTGGGAAGAAGAGGGGCCCAATGAGGACATCTGAGGATGCAGAGGCAGACAGACTAGAACATTCTCTTCACTCCAGCAGAGTTTGGACTCTGCTCCAAGGACATTACACAGCTACTGCATGGTTTTGGACAGGAGTGTGACCTGGATTTGTGCTTTTAAAGATTGCCATGACCAAAGCCCAGAGATGAATCTGTAGAGGACAAAACTGGATGGGAGACTGTTGTAGTTGCTGAGGGGAGGTTGGCAGGCAGAGGATGAGCTAGCTGGGGAATACTGATGCAGCTGCTTTTAACTTCATAGTCCTGGGGAGGATCTAAAGACAGCCTGAATCCTCTAAATCCTGCTACCACTAAAAAAGCCCCACCTATGACCACTTGAGGATCTGGGGGAACATCTAGATACAAGCCATAACATTCTGTTCCTGGCTCCCCAAACACTCATGCACGTCCCTTTATGAAAAATGCGTTTAGCTCATCTTCAAGAGTTTCAACACTGCTGAAAACTCCGTCTCCTCTGAGATTTAAGATAAACTCTTAGCTGTGAGCCCCTGTACAAATGAAAAGAAAGTTAAACACTTCCAACACTCAATGGCTCAAGACAGGCATTTCCATTCCAAAAGATATAAATAGGGGCATACAAAGGAATAGGACCAAAGGAAGACCAAACTCCAACAGGGCAAACATTAAGTCTTATGGTTCTATGCCTAGCATCTGAAACAATCTGTAGCAAGATATGAGCTCCAAAGGGCTTGGATAACTCCATCTCTATGGTGCTTCATGTAGTTGTAGCTCCCGTGGCTTCTTTCTTTGGTAGTATGGGTTGAGTACTGTCTTAGTTACTTTATGATCGTCGCTGAGACAAAATACCTGATGCTCACGTTGGGAAAGGAAAGGTTTATTTCTTACAGTTTTTGGAGGTTTCAGTCCACACTCAGTTGGCTCCAAGGCAGGCGGGCATGGCTGGACCGCAGTTCATGGCAGCCATTGACAACAAGCTCAAACCAGCAAAGAGAAAAACACACCTTCTTCCTGCCATTACATCACATCCTGGCTCCACCCCTATGTGGGTGGAGCACTGACACCATCAATCCAAGCACTATACAATGAACCATCACAAATGAACAATGCAAACTCATGAGGCCTGGGGGACACAAACATAAACCATGACAAGTACCTATCAACCAATTCCCAAGAAACTGCTTCCCTAGGCTGTTGCCATTCTGGAACATGGTGCTCTGGGCCTTTCTCTCTCTCTCTCTCTCTCTCTCTCTCTCTCTCTCTCTCTCTTTCTCTTCTCTCTCTCTCTCTCTCTCTCTCCCTCACTCTCTTTCTCTCTCTCTCTCTCTCTCTCTCTCTCTTGAGACAGAGTATCACTATGTAATTTAGGCTGGCCTTGAATTCACTATATGCACCAGGCTGGTCTCGAACTCACCACAATCCTTCTGCTTCAACCTCCCAAGGGCTGGGAGTATTACAGGCATGCGCCATCATGTCCAGCTGGAGTTGTCTTCTCAAAGCAAATTTTTTCACCTTTGCAACTCTGAAGCTGCAAAGGCTGGAGTCCTTTTGCCTCTTGTGTGGTCCTCAGGCCATCTTTTCTGTTGTCTTCTTCTGAAATACTTGGCTTTTTCTTGCTAGTCTTTTCAGTGATCAATTTCTCCATTCTTCCATCTTGACAGGCTGAAGCTTTATTGGAGTTTTCTTTCTGGCCAAACGCACAATATTTTGAATCTCCCTACTGGGCTGTTTGCTCTTGAGTAGCAACATAAATTTGGCTAAAATCCACCAACAATAGCCATGCCACTGCCTCAAAATCCTACTGCCTTGACATTTCTTTTGCCAGATTAATTAGTCTACTACCCTTAATCTCAGCCTCAGGCCAAGTCTCTGGACATGAGGAAAATGCGGACAAACTTTCTGGCAAGGCATAATACACATCCATCTGAACCCCAACAGCCAATGCAGTTTTTCTTTCCAGCAAAAACCTTCTAAGCCTGGTCTTCATCTCCCATAAAGGACAACCTCAGTTGTTGTAGCTCTGCTTTTTCAAGTCTGCATCTCTGAACCTCTCCTAGTTCTTCGAATAACCCTGCTCCAAAGGCTCCTAAATCACATGGTCAGGTACAGTCATAGCAACAACCCCACTTCTCTAGTACCAAATTCTATTTTAGTTACTTTTCTTGTTGCTGAGACAAAAATACCAAACGTCCACAAGGTAAGGAAGGAAAGATTTATTTAGTCCCAGTTTGTAAAAGTTCCAATCCATAATCAGCTGGCTCCAAGACAGGGTGACATAGCAGACAGGCATCACTAACAGAAACAGTTCATGATGGGCAGAAGGTAGCAAAGCATCAAGGGGTGACTGCAGCTCTTTCTATCTTCTCCAAGTTACTTCAGGCAGGTAACACTCATACCCTTAATCCTAGTGTCCTTGATCCTAGCACTTCAGCATAAATCAATTTGCTCATAGCATCACATACTTTATCCAACCGCCTGTGAAAAAGTCCCAATTACAACCACATGAGGCTTGAGGGGGACATCTAGTCACAGGCCATACATGAGGGATCACTACTCTAGGGAAAAACAAAAAAAGGGCAAGATGACTGAATCTAGTATCAACAGATGTTTATTTTTTTTTTTTATTGGTACCAGCGACCAAACTCACGACCATGCGCTTGCAAAGCAAGTGCTTATGCCGCTGAGCTAAATCCCCAGCCCAACAGATGTTTATTGAACAGATACTACTGGGGGCAAAATAGTTTCAGCTTCTACAGAGCTTACAGTATAATGAGGGAGACACATACTAAAATTATAATACACCATTACAAGAGAGTATTAGTCACTTTCCTGTTGCTGAGATAAAATACGACTGCGACTTAAAGGTACAGAGGCTCACTCATCTCACAGTGTCCAAAGATTCATTTCCTAGTTTGCTGGCACTGAGGCAGGGACTTCATGATAGAAGTGTCATCAGGTTTTGGGATACTGGCATCTTGGTTTCCAGGTTCTTTCCATCTCAAAGAATTAAGTGAAACAAAGAAAACAGTGACAAATTTATTTGAAAAATTAAAAATGAAGGGGCTGGAGATTTAGCTCAGCGGCATAAGCGCCTGCCTTGCAAGCAGGCAGTCGTGAGTTCGATCCCCAGTACCGATAAAAAGGAAAAATACAAAAAAAGAAAAATTAAAAATGAAGGGTAAGGGGAAAACTGGCTATGCAGAGCTTGGGCAGAACAAAAGAGAGAAAAAATTAAAAACCAAAATAAAAGTACCCTTTGGGGGAGAGGGGGCGGGCTACCCTCGAGAGGAAAGCTACAGAAGGACACTTTCAATGGCATCACTTTGCTTTATTTCTTTCACACACTGTGGGAGCCTTTAAGAACTCCATATGTGGGGCCTTGGAAATTATTTGGTGCACATCATGGAATCTGGTTGCTCTTACTCCTCAGCCAGCTTTTCTATGCCCTGCCTTCCTGCCTCATTCCCCTGAGATACACAAATCCCCATAATTCTTTATGAGGTGCTGAGAATGGTGGTCTCTGTCTTCTATAGCGTTTTCTGGCTAGAAAGGGTTGCAGACTCTACCTATGGGGTGATCATGTGCTTTCCAACAACCTTGAGGTGCTGTGGCTCACGAAGCGAGTTGAAGAAAGAAAAACCCGTCAGGAATTCATGACCGTGGAGCTGCCTGTTAAGAGAAAGAAACTTTATTATTGTCCAAGTATGAAGAGCTGGACAGATTTCCAAACTTTCTGTAGAAGACAATACATGTTAGAGACGAATGTCGTATAATTACCAAGAGTCTAAGACCCATGGCCTTAGCAAGGTCCTATTTGCTTATCTTTAGCAGCACTATAATCTTGCTTTTTGCAGAGAAATTTCAAGTTTTCCAGAGGTTCATAGGAATAACTTTCTTTTTGGGTAGCCTTGTTCTTCAGACAGTTCAGATGGAGCTAGTTTCCTTCTAGAAAGATAAATCCAGTTATCTATTTCTGCCACTTGTACTGCAGTGAGTATGGCAAAGTTAGCAACTGAACCAGGAGTCAAGCTTCTCTTGGCCGAGTTTTGCCAGAGCTCACTTCAGGGTCTTGTTGGCTCTTTTTATCTTTCCATAAGATTGAGGACCATTTTCCATGTAGGACTTTTATAGCTTGTCACATGGCCCTTGAGGAAGACCAGAATGTTGTCTTAGAAACTGAGAATAAGATTAAGGTCTTGAGGGGCTGTAGGACTGCCCTTCTTGTCTCTGAACCTTTTGATTTCCCAAGGAGACTTAAAACATTTCCCTGTGGTGCCCTTTTATAGTGCAAGACTGCAACCTGCCTAGGAAGATGCACTGCCTCTAAGAGTTGTAGAATTTCCTGCTTATGCTTTATAGATGATTGTTTATTAGTCAGTAAGCCTCTTTTTTCCTCCAGATTGTTCCTCTAGATTGCATGGACATGTAGCATTAAAAAGGTGTATCTGAAGTCCACATAGATATTTAATATTTTGTGTTTTCTTAATGTTGATGCCAGAGTAAGAGCTATTAGGTTTGCCTTTTTAGCAGAGGTTCGTAGGAGGAAGAAGTGTAGCTCCAAAGACCTGTTGTAAACTGACTACTGGATAATCTGCCTTTTGATATCCTTCTTGGACAAAGTTACTTACATCAGTGAACCACACCTCAGAGTCTTGGAGGGGCAGGTCACTGATGTCCTGCTGGCTTGCATAGGTCTGGGAGATCACATGTTCATAAGAATGGATAACTTCCAGGCCTGTACACATCAAAAAGGTAAGATTAAGAGTCATGCACATTTTTATAATAACCTCAGGGATGTCTAAGAGCATGCCCTGGTACTTGGTAAGTTGTTCCCTTGTTAACCACAATTAACCTTTTGTGTCTAGAATAGCTCTGACCTGAAGGGGAACTAGGACTTCTAGTCTTTGCCTCAAAGTTAACTTTGCAGCTTCCTCTTTTGATATAGCTGTACCTGCTACTGCTCTCCAGAAGTGTGGCCATCCAGTAACCACTCCATCTTTTTGAAAAGTATACCCACAAGTAAAATCCATTTGGGGCTTAGCCAGAATTTGGGAATTGCCCCCAATGTTGCTAGTGAACCTCTTCCAGCAAAAGAATAGGACAATGTGGGACAATTAGAAAATCATGGTTAAACATCTGACCTTCAAAGTGACACCTCAAGAGGAGGAGTAAAGAATCTCTGATTAGTGCATTCCTAGACCCCAACTTTGGCTACAGACATAGGGGAGAATTTTCTAGAGAAGGAAATCAAAACAGAATGAGCTACCCCTATAAGAATAAGCAGTTAGATTGGCTTACCCATGATGTCTAAGTTTACCCAGGGTTCCTCAGAGGAGATGGTGATGTTCGTGGGCAGGAGAATTGCAGGTTCCCTTGGGCCTTGTCAGTTATCAGAGTAGGAAATGAAAGTTTTGGCTGGCCTAACCCTGCTCTGTAAGTGGGGACACTCAAACGTCCATTGCCACAAGTCAGACACATTAGTAGCCTGATAGTTGGAGCAGGACCCAGGCAGAGGCTTGGTGCAATCTTGTCCCTTGACTTACACTTGAAAACAGAAACTCTTTCCCTGATTGCCTCTGGGTTTTCCTTTAGATGACCTGGGTGGGTTTAAAGCATTGCCAAATGCATCAGCTATAATTTTAGCCTCTGTCTTTTGCCCTTCCTCTGGGTCCTGATTGTTGAACATGGAAAAGACCATGTCCAGCAATTGGTCCAAGGGTGTTTGAGGGCCCATCTGATGTTTTTGTAGATTATGCCAAATATCTGGAGCTGATCAACAGATAAAATTATGTGCCACTAATGTTCCTCCCTGGAAGATGGATCTATATTTGTATATTTTTGAGAGACTTCTACTAATTGGTTACAGAAGACAGCTGGATTTTCCTCTGTATCCTGTATGACTTCACTCTATAATAATTAACAGACTTTTAACATTCCTTTTTAATCCCATGGTAAAAGCAGCTAGCATGTCAGACACCATTTTTAGTCCATGACTAATTTTTTTTTTTTTTTTTTTTTTGGTACTGGGGATTGGATTTATCCATGACTAGTATTATAGTCCCAGTTTGGTATTGTTGATGGAAGAATAGCCACTCCAAGGTGGATTCCTTCCTTTTTAAAAGTACATTGCTGATTTGCATAGTTCCTAACCTCTTATAGAATTCTTTATCTTCCATCTAGGGTACAGCAAGTGGCCAAAATGAAGTGAACATCTTGCCATGATAAATCAAAAGCATGAGTTAAAGTTTCAAACCCAACTGCAAACTTACTAAGAGCCTCTGACACTTGGCTTACTCATTCTTTTCACTGATAGACTGAAAAAGGAGTCTGATTTAATGACTTAGGAACCATAAGAAGGAGGTGGAAGGGACCTCCCAGTGTCATCAAATCGATCAGAGAGAGCTACATGCCTCTGAGAGACAGGCGGAGGTTCCAGGAGAGGGTTATCCTTTTTCTTGGGGACCCTCTAAATACCATAGCTCCTGAGCATTCCCTTTGATAAAGGGTCACAAAATCATGAACATAAGGCATTTTATTCCACCTTTTATATTTTAAATAGAAATTCTATAACTGAAGAATGGTCTAGTAATTTAAAGTACTTTCTCATATACATCTCATCATTTCCCAGTTCATACTGAATCCAAGCCATATTGCGAGAGTAGATAAGCTGGTCCTGTTTTAAATTGTTGGGATCAAACTTTTCCCATTCATCAAAGATACAGTCTAGTGCTGAGGTCAGTGAACAAGAAGTTTCCCATTGTTTTGTCTTGGGGATAAAAAGAGGCAGACAGGGGCTGGGGATTTAGCTCAGCAGCATACGAGCCTGCCTTGCAAGCAGGCAGTCATGAGTTTGATCCCCGGTACCAATAAAAAGGAAAAAGACAAAAAAAAAAAAAAAAAAAAAGAGGTAGACAACTGGGACTTGGATTCTTAAGATGGTGATGCAGAAGGAGGAGGCCCAATATGAGTCCACAAAACATCCCCTATGAGATTCAAACTCTGACTAGACAGATAGATGTCTCTGTCTGATACCTTAGAGTGATGCTGGCCTCATTCACAGAAGTACAGAAAACAGCGCCTTTGAGGACTTTTGGTCTCCATACTGGGGCCCATGAACTCAGTAGGGGGAAGGAGATGTAGCCACTTGCTGAGCTTATCTAACCCCTTCACTTCCCTGAGACAAGGGGAGACCCCCCCCCCCCATGAAGTTCCCTTAGCCACCTAGTGAAGCCACTCAAGCTTAAGCAGAGGGGAGCAATATGGGAAAACTATCTCCTGCATTTATTCTGATAGTAAAGACCTTGGTACTTCATTTAGGGCACTAAGAACAGGGAGGGTTCTGCTTTTGTGTATTCACAGTTACCTTGGTTAAGTTTTAAATGCTATTCATTTGTTCAGCTCAGGCTGTCAGGCATGTTTTAAAATTACCTGCATCTACACAAGGAATATAGCCAGGAAGCAATAGCTTCAGTCATGCCTGAAGCCGAGTCAGCTAGCGGTGGCCCAGCTGTCAGTGGTCTCAGGCTGCCCGCTGCATGCCTGTGGGTGGCTTCAGCTTATTAGTCCTTTCCTCAGGCCTATGTGGCTGCATGCGTCAGTGAAGGTGACTGGGCTTCTGACCCGGTTGCCCTGTGCACCCGATGCCCAGGTCACCCAGGCAAAGGTGACAGGGAAGGGTTGAGAGGAGGTCTTGCACATGTGCACAGTCCACGCTGTCAGGTGGTTGTGCCTTCCCAGAAGGCTGCTCGGTGCTACGATGCCTGCTCCTCCTGTTGCTGCCACTGGCAGAAGCTGCGAGATGTTTTAAAAGTGGGCACATTTTTCTCTCCTCTTCAGGAAGAACTTGTGCCAGTTTAAATAATTTTTTAAAAAGAAGAGGTTGTTTCTTCTTCTGTCTTTCTTTTTTTTCAGTACCAGGGATCAAACTCACGACAGCCTGCTTGCAAGGCAGGCGCTTATGCTGCTGAGCTAAATCCCCAGCCCCTTCTTGTTCTCCAAAAGCCCACAAGGTCTCTAAGATCAGAGGCTTAGTTTGTATCCACAAAGGCAAGGTTCCATAAGGTCAGTTGGTTCCAAAAAAAGGGAAAAAAGGATGGTGAGGGTTGGTGAAAGATGGCATCTAATCGTGTGACAAGATGGCAGCCAGCCACATGACATAACATGGTGGCACTCAGGACCAAAACAGCAAATCAAGAAAAAAACAAAACAAAACAAAAAAGTTTGCAATCTGGGGTACATGGAGGCCAGTCTAGTTTCCAGAAAGGGTAACAAAATACAGCAAACAAATGCAGACAGCAAGACCCTAAGCTTTAGACTGCACACATAGTGCTGCAGGGTCTCTGCAAGGTCCCTCTGAGAGGGAGGGAAAAGAGAAAAGATGTCTTTGTGACACTTTAGAGGGAAACAAAATGTCTCTGTGGGGCCAGTGTGGGGCCTTACCTGGTCTCCTGGTACCTGAGTCTCCTGGCTGGGTAACCCAAATAAATGTTACTGGGTTTGGGGGTTCTTTCCATCTCAAACAAAGAATTGAGTGAAATAAGCAAAAACAGTGACAACATTTATTTGAAAAATTAAAAATGAAAGCTATAGAAGAAACTGGCTCTGCAGACTTTGGGCCAAGCTAAAGAGAGAAAAATTACTAACCAAGATAAAAGTACATCCTGGGAGAC